AAGGGCTGGAAGATGTCCACAGATAACACACACTGGGAAGGATGCCAAACTCAGAGAGGAACTATAAACTAGAGATATTTATGCGATTTATTTCCAGCGTTTGCCAGTATACAGATCCAAACTCTTATTCAGTTGTCACACCTGCAGTCCATGAAGAGGATCACGGTCTTTCCTCCCGAGGAGACCGCATCTCTCCCTTATCCTCTCCTCCCTGCGTGCCCTAGGATGCAAAGGGGATGGGCCTGGGTCTTCCTCTAACTGCTCAGCCGGCCTCTGCCCTTCCCCAGCCTCCTCCCCAACCTCTGGAGCCACACTTCCACTGCCTGTTGGCTGTTCCTCCTCTCCCTCAGAGTCAGTCTCCACCAGGGGCATGACAGCTGGACTAGAAGAACTCCCAGGTCCCTTTCAACTCTGTTATTCTTTTATAGCCTAATTTCTCTTCAAGTTGAGAATAAATAAAACCACCACTATTTCACCTGGAGACAAAGTAAGGATGCATTTATGCTTTTTAAATAGCTTTTCTGTATTTGTCAGTTGGAGCTACCCAACAAACAACTCAGTTTTACTTCTTCCCTCTTTGGACCTAATTAGTTCTGCAATCGTGGCAGTCCTTTTCTTCTTTGGGACTATTTTTGCCTTGATGTCTTTTCATATAATTATTTCACCTTTTGTTTTGTTTTAATGTGTGGGAAAGATGGGCACACAGACTGCTGAAGTCAAACTTATTCTTGCTACAGTGCCCAGCTTGGTAGTTGTTGTTTTTTTTTTCCTGCTGGTTAAAGCTGAAAGGGCAATAAATCGCAAGGAGAACATCAGTCACTTTACCTGTAATGAGTGGTACACTCACAAATCAGAACATCATTTTTCACAGGAACTCGGAAAAGAAATAATAAGAGCAGAGCAGACACCGGAGACAGAAAACGTTATACCCACGTTTCTTGGGCCAGCTGGTAGATAGATCTTTAATATACAGTGGGAAAGGGCTTAAATCCCTATGTTTTGGGAAGTGATTTCTCAGCCTTGACAATTTTAACATTCCTGGACTGCAACTCCCAGAATTCCCCAACCAGCATGTAAGAAAAATGAGTTCATTAAAAGAAAATAAACTCTACGGAAATACAGTGAAAGCAATTATTTGACTCTTGACAAATGTATCTTTTCTTTTATGTACACTGAGAGCATTTGCACCAAGACAAATTCCTTGGGTGTCCAACCACACTTGGCCAATAAAAGAATTCTATTCTATTCTATTCTATTCTATTCTATTCTATTCTATTCTATTCTATTCTATGTTTTTGAGATATTCTAAACATGTGATTATTGCTAAATAGTCAAGCTTACCACTGCAACAGGGTACAAGTAGGCAAGTGTCAACCATATTCATCAAAATCTAATGACTCTAATATAATAATGGTCTGCTGAATTTTGGAAAATTAAAATATCCACCTATGTCAAAATAATCGTGATAAGACATATCAGCTTAGAAAAAAAATTCTACAAAAAATTTTTTTTTTCTGGGAGAGCAGTCTACATCTGAAGCATTGGATGAGCATTAATTTATGTTCATTGTATCTTTACTTTCAGTAGAACCAAAATGTAAAGGCTGTATTGCATTGCCTGTGTAGATCCAGTTCTGTCCAAAACAAGAATTCGTTTCTACAAATTATTCAGACAGTGTGCTGGAGACCCCTAGTGTCTATTAAATGAAATGTCATGGCCTTAATCAGTAATAGTGAATATTTTTCTTAGGCTCATAATCGCCAACAGATCACCAGGTTGAAAGCAAGAATTTAGAGTTCCTTATTTCTTTCTTTTAAATAAACAGTGTGTTTTCTAACGGAATAGCATAGTGGCATAGAATTACTTTTTAGTTTTTCATTTATGTTAATTTTCTTTGTTAGCTCGTTCGCTTCTGACAGTTTTTGCCATAAAAGCAGTTCATATTTTCTCAAGAGCAAAACAATCCTTTTCCTCCCTTCCCTCAAATTCTGGTCACCAGGAATACAGAGTATGTTGGCCTTTGGTCTAATCCAGCAGGACTCTGATATCCATCTATAGACATATTAAAAACCTTAGACTTAGAATAATTTTATTGTCACTTTAAATTTACACTAAGCGGCACACATTAAAATGAAATTTTGTTACATACAGCTCTCAAGGGGCCTCCACTTCTAATATACACTACATAAACATAACAAAATGAATAAATACAAAATTATGCATATACCCACATATATGACATGGAGAAACAACACAGTCTAGTTCAGGTGTATACATGTACATGGTGAGAGAAATGAATCTTGTGAGTTGACCAGACGGGTGACATAGGGAACAAAGCTGTTACAGAATATGGTAGTCCTGCTAGAAATACTTCAAAACCTCCTTCCGGAAGGGAGAAACAGAAACAGACTGTGAAGTGGACATGTGGGGTCTCTAACAATGTTTTGAGCTCTAAGCACATCACACTTATAAGCAGTATCCTGAATAATGAGAAGCGAGCTTCCTATAATCTTCTCAGCTGTTCTCATCACTCTCTGTAGGGATTTTCTATCTGAGGCACCGCAGCCACCAAACCAAAGAGTGGTTCAGTTTGTTAAGACGCTCTCAATTGTGCCTCTGTAGAGTGGCCAGGACAAGAGAAAGATGTGGTCTTCTCACCCGATGCAGGAAATGCAGACGCTGGTTTGCATGCTTCACTAAAATGACGTGTGGAGAGACCAATTCAGATTGTTAAAGAATAAAATATCATCTGCTTTTCTGCCAGAGCCAAGAAGGCTGTACAGGTAATCTTTGCTGAACAACCCTAACTGGGACCAGAATTTTTGTCATTAAGTGAAATCATTAAGCAAAGCATCATGTGACCACATTGCTTAGTGACAGTAGTACTGACAACCCCAACTGTGGTCATTAGGTGAAGATCACGCCATTGTTAGGCAAAGACTCAGATTTCTTCTTCTCTGCTGCACTTGCCTCCGGTTCAATTCCCCCCATCCACCTCTCTGCTCCCACATCTGTCCTTTTGTACACCTTGGACTCTGATGCTACCATCCCCAGCTAATATTCATCATCTTCTTCCTTTTGCTGCTGAAGAGGCACATCCAGCTGAGGCCACTGCTGGCCCTTTGTGAGTCCTCACAACACTTTTGCAACATCTCACGGAAGCTTTGCAAATGGTCAGCAGCTGCCTCAGCTGTCAACTGGGAGTGGCAGGTGCATAGGGTGGCCAAAGGGGCAGAGATAGCAATAGCATTTATATACTGCAAGCAGAGTCAGCATACTGCCTCCAACAATCTGGGTCCTCATTTTGCTGACCTCGGAAGGATGGAAGGCTGAGTCAGTTTTGAGCCGGTGAAAATTGAACTACTGGCAGTTGGCAGAGTTAGCCTGCAATGTTGCATGCTAACCACTGCATCACCATGGCTCCTGGGGCATGGGGGGTGGGAGATACAGGCAGGTGGGGAGAACTAAGAGCAGAACTGCAGTCATATTATTGTGGATGGATTGTCAAGCTTTCAAATTTTGTTCATGTGACTGTGGAGGTGCTGCAACTGCAGTAACTTCAAGGACCAATCATAACTACTCTTTGTTCAGGATCATCATAGCTTCAAATGGTCTCTAAATGAAAGGTCTTTCAGCAAGGACTACCTGCATCTTATATGAACCTGAACAAATTATTTCAGGAGCTTCCATTCTACTTCACTTACTGTCACAGTTAAATAAACTACAGGGATTTTGTGATAGTCTGTAATGGTATGTTGGAGTGACCTTGGGAGACCAGACCAAGAGACGCCACCAAGGGAATGATCAGCAAAGAGAGAGCATGACCCACAGCTGGGGATAGTGGATAGGCCAAGAGGCTCAGAAGGGGCCCTCCCTAGTCTTTCAGATGTAAAAGAGGCACAGGGTGAATGTTTTTTTCAAACTTGAAAAATTTTATCAACATAGCTTTACAATTAAGTAGAATTAACACATCTGGTTGTGTTTTCTATCTGGCTTGTTCCTCAAGGCCAACAGTCATACACCAAATTGCTTAAGTTTTCCAACATATAAGTAAAACTCCTTCTCACTTGAATATTTTTTATGGCTTCTAAAATGGCCCTATAGTTGGGTATTTATCCCATTTAGGGCTGCCTTTGGGCTTAATAGGAGCTGGGGAGGAAACTTCTATTATCTGATGTAATGGGGTTGCAGTGGGCCTTGTTTGGGAGCCGGGAGCATCAATTTGGGTATGATAGGATTAGCAATAAGTGAAGCTGGGCTTGATCCTGGTCACATAAAGGAAGAAGAGGTGTCGCTTCCATTTCTCCATCACACTAAATCCTCCTTTAGATTTCAAATCTGACTGTAGCAATAACTAACTTAGGTTGACTTGTAAAATGACTCATGTTCACAACAAATAGGTTTATCAAACAATCATAACAAATGCAGTGCACAGCACAGTCCAAAATGTTGCATGAAACAAGCATTTAATATTACCCACAAAACATAACACACATTTAAGGCCAGGAGTTATGCCTGTTGTATAACATCATTACTCCCTTGGGAACATAAAAACGAAGGTACTCTATGACAAACATAGAGGCAGCTTCTGCTCAATGTAATTAGTGTCTCCTGTGATGTGCATTGTGATAGTGTGATGGTTAACCAAAGGCGGATGCTAAATACAGGCAATGCCTATTATGGATGGATTGCACGGTAACAATATATCATGTTTACTTCTGGCACATTCAATTATTGAAATGCTTAATAAACTGCATCATTTAAACATTAGTCTTGAGTTCTAAACTACTTCATTGGTTTTATTTTAATACCAATGTTTGGTACATTAAATAACTTAAATGGATATACAGCTGGATATTTAATAATTTTGTTTCTTCTTGTACTATACAGTAAACTATGGCAAGTCATATCAAATAGAAATTTCCACAAGCAAGTAATACAATGGGGGAACAAGAAGAAGCAAATACACTTGAAACTATGTCCCTAAATAATTCTTGTCTTCAAGGTAGCTCTCTATTCCTGATGTTGTCCAGAAGATTTTGAGCTTCTTGGACGCCATGACCAGCTGCGACATTTAGGAGTTTTTCTACATCCCTGGAAGAGATTAAATTAGTTGTATAGAGAATGGCAGAGAATGAGCAATTCTGTCCTGACGTAGCTTCTTTATTATTTCTAATACTAGAATCCATCTCTATTTTCTTATTGCACTGTCTCTTTCCTGTGTCTCCATTATCTACTGAATTACTATATTTTGAGAAGTATCACTTGACATTCAGAGAAAATGCAGTACGGTGGTAGTTTGAGTCATCTCGAGATATATATATATATATATATATATATATATATATATATATATATATAATTTTTTTTTCAATATCTCTCTTTTACATGAGATGTGTTTATACACTGAATGTTGTATAAACACATGTCAAACCGAGGTTTGCTACTTTAGAAGTATCAAATCATTCTGAGCAGTAGTGGGTTTCCAAATTTTTTCCTATTGGTTTGGAGAGAGCGCTTTGCGCATGTGTGCGCAGGGCTCAAAGATTGCCCTCTGTATTAACGCTGGTGAGCTGTGCTGTTTTTTAGCTCAACTGAGGCGCAAATCAGCTGAGCTGAGAGGTAAGGGGCGGGGCGGGTGAGTGGGGCCAGCCAGAGGTGGTATTTGGTCATTTCCGCTACCGGTACACCACAACCAGTCCAAACCAGCTGAATACCACCTCTGATTCTGAGTTTTCCATGCACGCTATGCTGAATAGAAGTCCCAACCTTGCCTCTCTACAAGAGAAAGGGGCAAACTTTGGCCCATGATCTGTTTTAATGCTCTTTGCAAGGAACTAGTAGATTTCTGTCAAAAACCAGTGAATATCGTTGTGACTAGTTATGATGGAAGAAGGCAAAAACTTCTGGTCCTTCATAAACTCAGCATTCACAGGAATGCACTTGCAGCAGCTTGCCTCCAGATCCCCTTTTTTTGCATTTGAAAAGACTGAGCATATGGCATTTCTCTGTCTCCCAGCAAGCATGATTTCCACAAAGCAGTGAAAATAATACAATGCTTGCTGTCTACTAAGGACCATTCACATGCCCCAATGAGATAGTGCTTGATCTGTGCCTTTCCTGGTCACTTGCTTGTCACTTGCTATTTGAAGGAGAGAGAAAAAATGTCAGCAAGAAGAGAAGGAGGAACCTAAAAACAAAATGGCTTCCCTTCCTTTGTATACAGGTAGCCCTAGACTTACAACAGCTCATTTAATGACCATTTGAAGTTACAGCGGCACTGAAAAAAGTGACTTATGACTGTTTTTCATACTTATGACCGTTGTAACATCCCCATGGTCATGTGATATACATTTGGATTCTTGACAACTGACTTACATTTATGACGGTTGTGACAAGCCAAGTCTATGGGGAAACCAGATTCACTCAACAACCGGGTTACTAATTTAACAACTGCCACAATTCACTTAACAAATGGGGCAAGAAAAGTCATAAAATGGGGCAAGACTCACTGAACGAATTTCTCTCACTTAGCAACTTAAATTTGGGGCTCAATTGTGGTCATAAGTTGAGGACTAGCTGTATTTTGCATTTGCTTCGGCCTTGTGTACTCTTGGCACAGATTTCAGCCTAGGAATTCCCTCCTCCAGTGGGAGGAAAACAGGTTCCCCATTCTTGTTTTTGATGCTATATCAATTTGGCTATTAGTTTCTGAGAATTCTGAGAACAGAACTCCCACCAGAGCAGGAAGCAGTAGACATACCTGTCTTTAAGCCCAGTTGTCATATTCTTCAGTTTGCCAACAGCCAAATTAAAAGAGGAATGGGGGTGGCCTTTCTCAGCTGCTTGTCTGAAAAAGAGGAGGCAGACAGGCAATCGAAACCCCTATTTCTAAGAAATAGGATGGCTTTGTACTTCTCATCATGCTCCTATTTACTGACTTGTCATCTCTGGATAGTCAAGAATAATTGAGGACAGTAACAGAGCCAATATTGTAATCCTACAGCCCCACATGCAGTTTTTAACCCATAATGCAGAGTTGCACAATCTATAGTCCAGGGCCATTTGTATCTCCTTTCCAAAAGCCTAGCATACATTCTTAAAACAATCCAACAAATCCATTGTAATATTTAAGGGGGAAACATTATTAAATACATATGGAGCAGTAATCTTAGCTGCATTTAATTCCATCAATTTAAATTTAATTAATGTACATTTATATTAAACCCAATCATATTTTACTTTGTTCCTGGTCCCATCTCCACTTTTTGCAGTAGATTCCCCCCATTTTCAAAGGGAAAAATGTGATCGTCAGTGCAAAAAGAATTTTGCTGCTCCAGCTCAAAGGAAACTGATACATGAAGAATGTTAAAGTTGTTCTTCCAATAAAATGACAATGTCGATCCAACTTCTACATCACAGACCCTCACACTTTTCAAGACAAAAGAAGGAACACATCTGCCCCAGAGTTATTGCTACACTAAAATTATATTGCCTATACAAGACTGTGAAAGGAAAGGTGTTATGTCTTTCTTTGCAACTCATCTTCTTATTGGAGCTATTCAATGGTACAGTTTAAATAGTTCTAAACGGCTTTCAAATGGTAATGGAATAAATGTTAAATTGGAGACCCTCCCATTCTCTTTCAAGGTGTCTATCCCTAAGTGCTGCCAAAATTGAAAAAGAATTGTGGATGCAAAGCACTTTGGAATCATGTGTCTATTCTTCAAGATCTGTTCTAATAAACATACAGGAGAGTTAGGTGTAAACATTGAGGGCAAAAATTCGATATTAGATTACAAATCAAATTTACCCTAATTCACTTACCTGAACCACTGCATGGCCTTCTCTTCATTCTTTTCTACACCAATTCCTAGCAATGAAAGTCAGAAACAATAGAATAATTTGTTGTTGTTTCTTGCTCCTGTTTTATGAACTAGCAGCCTTCAACTAATACAACATGTGTGCTAAATATAGGAGTCAGAGTTTGTCTAGATCAGGGGTGTTAAACTCAATTTCATTGAGGGCTGCATTAGGGTTGTGTTTGACCTGGGGGGGGGATCGGTGTGGCCAACTTATCACCCATGTTGGGGGCACCTGTGGTGGCCCAAGCGCTCTACCAGTGAAAATGGGCTCCCAAGCTTCGTTTTCAGCTGCGACGGCCTCCTACAACCCTTTGGCAGCAAAAATGGAAATTGGGTGGGCTGCAAGGGCCTTGAGTTTGACACTCCTGGTCTATATGAAATACAGGCTTGCAGGCTAGATGTTCTTGGAAACTATGCAGGGTTTACTGCCTATGATAGGAGCCAGGTTCTTTGATAAAGTGATTGCTAAAATTTAAGATGTCAAATGTTGATATCCATTTCTGCAAGAAAAATGACAGTTTGTCCCATGGACCACAGTAGTTGTCAATGATAATACAGCACTCAGCTTGCCAGTGATTTAGAGCAAATTATTTTGGTAACCTTATGCTGTAGACTCCATTCCAGCTTTCTCTCATGATCTTTATATATAATTTAGATAGCAGAACTGCAACATCTCTTATACCTTTGAAGTATGTTAAAATCTTGTGGTTCACAAAACGACATGCACAATTGTTCTAAAGGCCATACCATAGTTTAGTTTTTGTATGCAAAGTATTGCATATTTTTCTGATACCTCAATTTAGAGAAGAATTGTAACCAGACTTGAAGCAGTGGCTCTTACCTCAAGGGAAGGAAAAGAAGGCTATGACAATTTTGACTGAAGTCCTGTAAGCCAAATGAATCTAATGAGTTGCATTTGGTCTTTGTCTGAAATTTCCCCATAAATGATAGAAAGTATATATTCATCTCCCCAATAATGCTGTGTTGGGAAAATTTATAAATCCTGTCTAATTGAACACTTGCCATAAGTTTCAGGAACCATGATTCTATTAAATCTTTAAGACAGCCAATAATATTAATGACCGATGTGCTAGAATGCTATTCACAATTTTCTTTCTATATATATAAAATACAGATAGGAGAAATTCAGATATGCAACTACTGATCTGTGAACCTCACAATTATGTCTCCTTTTCAATATTTATGTTTCAGCATAATATGTGAAAACAGCCAATCTACTTCAATCATAAACATACATGAAAACCAGGAATCACAAATTAAGGTAATGAATAAATAAAATTCCAATTTTCCAGAATGTATTTAAATGTGAAAATAATTTATATTTCAGTCATGCCAAGGTCCATAAAAAGAAACAAAGATCTCTCATGTGTATCATTTTCACAATTCCAAAGGCTGAAAACATGGGTTAAGGATTGGTCACTTCTCAAGTCAGATTTACCTTTCAAGTATCTCTGTCCCACAATATGCTGGGCATTGGGATATCCAAGATGAGCATACATGTGAGCCACATGGAAATGGAAGTTTTCATAACACAGCAAGATATAAAGGAGCAGGAAAATGGACCCAACAATAGCCATCAGCTATAAAAATAAAATAAAATAAAATAAATTGAAGTAGCCTGAAGTTTTCTATAGATTTTTTTTGTTCTCATTTCTATGATATATTCTCACTTCTCTTCCTTATATCACAAAAGCATGGGGATAGGCCAATGGACTATTTTTCTGGAGAGAATAATCCATTTTAAGGACTTAAAGTTGTACCCAGATCATTTGTCACAGGCTGCATCTAAACTAAAGTGAGATGTGTTGCATTTCCAGAGAAAAAACAACATTTCTAAATATGTGCCCACAGATATTCAAAAGTCATGAAAAATCTGTGTTTGTGTGGTATGTGTGTGTGTGTATATATACTTTTGAAACAGAACTGATTCCTGCAGACGGAAGGTTTCTGGAAGTGGTTTGCCATTATCTTCTTCAGAGTAACTAGCCCAAAGTCACACAGAAGGCTTTGTAGCTAAAACAGGGTTAGAACTCAACTAAAGCATAAATTACCACCTTCAAGTATTGCCACAATAAAGTTCCTCTCCACGGCTCCTGAGGAACTGAGAATGCGGTCCTGAGCAACTATATCTCTAGGCCCAATGTAAAACTGGTTTATAATATTTATCCAAGGCTCCAGTGTACCAACAGAATGTATCTTTTGATACAAAATGAAATTATTTATCCGGAACTACTATTTCCTTGTGTATGAACAGAGCAAAATTAGGCTTTCTGATTTTACTTTGCAAGAAAGCAACAGCAGTGATTCCTTTGAATCAGGGATAAATGCCTTCATCATAATAAATTTCAGTTTTATTACCTCTGATTTTTTTTTATCTTTTATTTATTATCTCAGTAGCTGGGACTGAAAAGACCCAAACTCATGCATTATAGGCTTCCCATACAGGTTTGAGATCTTAATGCAGTTAATATGGTTACTGAACAATTGAAAAATAGACAAAGGAACTGATCTCTGGTGCAAATTGGCAAGGGTGTTGCAGAAGTTTCTAACTGGAAGAAATCAAAATAAATAAAGTAAATAGGGGCTTAAATTAAACAGAGGATTAAGAAACATATTGTTAAACAGCATTAAAACAGAACTGGTCCCACAGAATACAGATGAAATATCAGTGAAACAGGTACAGTAACAGCTACAGTAAATTTAGCCTGAAGAACAGTGGCCAGCAAAAATTCAAGGAAACAGCCTAAAAAGAGGGAGCATAAGAATACAAAAGGAGCAAGAAACAAAGCTTTAAAGCAAGACACAGAAAGGAGGAAAGCAACTAAAATCCCATTTCCTGCAGCTAATAAGGGGAGAGGGCACATTAAAGTCTTCAAAAAACTCAGAAATATAAATTGACATTTGTTGGTCAGTGTGGGAAGAGAGAAGGGCAGGCAAGGTTTTTTTTAGGAGGAAATCACCCACTAATTGGCTGGTGGAGGCCAGAGACTTGAAGAGAAGGAAAATTGAAGGATTTAGATGAGGATAACCAAACAGCAGGAATAGCCTAAAATTGCTCAGACTTTTGTAGTGAAAGGAATTGCTATGGGCATTTTGCAAGGGAGGGAAAAGAATATAAATACGTACCATATTTTAAAAATGCAATTGCACTTTTAATGAGACTGTCCAGCCTGTAATATACAATATAATCTGAGGAACCTCTTTTTTTACAAGTTAAAAAGAGATGCACTGAGCTTAATATCGTAGGGTCCTTTAAAGGTATTGTTGGAAGAAATATCCATCTGGTTCAGTTCCAAGTGGGGAGAAAGACAATGGAAACATGGAGGCTGTTTGTAAAGAGAGTTTAGTGATGAATAGAACCACATGGGTTTGAAGTCCTGGTGCAGCTGAACACATGGAGTGGACAGAAAAAGGTATTTATATCCTCTCTTGGGCCTTTTCCTTGAGCTTCCTGTTCCTTTGCAAGAAATGTATTCTGCTTATCAGACTCCCAGGGGAATATGCAGGGGTCATAGCTGAGGTTGTCTGAGATAAGTTTGGTTGAACCTTGCTGGGTGATGCAATGAAGGGGCTTGGTTAGGACATATGATGAGCTCTGCTGATAGATAATCCTATTATGTCCTGGAGGGTCGTGTCTTAATCCCATCATCCTGGAGCTGAAGGTCTAATTGTCTTGTAGATAGGATGGCTCCGTCTTTCTATATGGGCCCCAACATCTGCTGGGAGCAGGGAGCTGCTCTTTGTCTTTAAAAACATGTTTCTCCTTTTCTCATCCAGAGAAATATAATATTCTGCCTTTTTAATATTTCCTAGAATATTTCATTCTTCTAGGAGAGGGGTGAGGGCCAACTTTCTACAGTATATTTGTAACTGTGAGATGTTACCTATTTCTGTATATCAGTATGGTTGCAGCTTTTCCCATACAAGTAGTAATATTGTACTTGGTGTCCAAAATTAAATGATTTTTTTTCTGTCTCTCATTGGACCCCCCCAGGAAATTGCCCCTTATCGTGGCCATGCCAGATAAAGATCTGTTTAAAGTGAATTGTATAGGAGTGGAAAGGATCCTGACTGGAAGATCTCTGAAGAAGTCAATTTCTCAAATGCAGAGCAGCATTTTGGATACTATTGTAGATTTGTTTGGTTTTATTTCTTCTTTCGTGAAACAGGGTTTGTTTTTGTTTTAAGTATCCCTACATGAGAAGACAAATGGAAGAATAGATGGATAGTTTTGTTTTAGGCAGAGTAACTGTGATCTGTTTTCTCCATGTAATAAAAAAAATGGGCCATTCACACTGCTTTTGTACAGATTGTTGATGGGTTAGTTTATCACATATTCGCAGGCAGCGGCTGACAATTTATTGGAAGCCAAACAGTATCACAGCTAGAAAATCTCCACCTTCTACAATGGTTTAAATACCCACTTGATAGCCTCTGGCCAAATAAAAGTCAACTGTCTTTTTAAGCCTGACAAGTTGTGTTTTTAATCACCGTGTGCCTGGTTATCAGCAATGAGCTCTTGTAACAGAAAACACTGTCCTAGGGAACAGATGTCACATTGAATAGAGTTTTTTTATGCTTTAAAATTGGTTGTAATGTTTCTTCTGCAACTTTTGGATCCCTCCAGAAAGTTGTTTGAGATATTTACATACATTCAATCTAGGGATAGCTTGAAATATATTCTGTTTGTTTGTTTGCTTGCTTGCTTGACATGGACACTGCCTGATTCCAATTGAATCTGGACTTTTTACAAATTAAAAATAAACAGCTGTATATAATCTAAATAAAAATCAATGTACAAGTTGGTAAATCTAGCTGATAATATTCATATACTCAGGAGTAGGATTCCACTGGTATAACAACCGGTTCGCTGATCGCACACTTTGTGCATGCACGCCCCAAATGCACACTCCGCATGCGCGCTCCGTGTTTAAAAGGGCTCTAATACTTACCTTCTACAGCAGTCCCTGTGAATAAAACAGGTGAGGCACAGCAAACCGCTTTACCACACGAATCAGCTGTGCTCTAAAAAAAAAGAAATAAAGCACAGGAAAAAGCAGCAGCGGGCGGGCCCACATGCTCATCGCAGAAAGCCGGTTTGCTTCCAGCTGATCTTCGGAGCAAGGGGTTCCCCCAAACCGGTCCAAACCAGTAGAATCCTACTCTTGCATATATCCTACAAAGAGCTTCGGCTACCAAGCCCTAAGCCTGAGAGAACAGCCAAGACTTTAAAACCCTCCCTCATCTTACATGAAAAGAGATATCTATGGTGCATTTGTAAAATAAATGCTTCTTCTCGGCAGCTCATGTGTGATCTATATTTCATTTTCAGCTTTCCTTGGGTTTAGGAGCATTATGGGTACAGCATTGCCAGAATATCTAGATAAGATGGTCCGAAGGCAATCAATTGAAAAGTAAGGGGCAGAGTTCCATGGACCTATGGTTGTTTTCATGCAAAACTCATGCTCTACAGTTGAGCATCTGTCATTCTGCATCAAAGTTCTGACACCTCTAAAGAAAACTGAGAAAGCTTCTTGTTGGAAAATCCTAGTATATTAATTCTAGTCAATATGGAGATCAGAAGTTGGCTTCTTTTCTGACCTGGGTGCCATCAATTAATCTTCTGCAATAGCCTAGCCTTACCCCCACCCTAAAACTATATCCAAAATCTTGTAAGATTCCCAAATCGCAAGATTTTCAATCTTTGTTCTTGAAATCCTTTGAAACCTCATGAAAAAGGCAAAGAGCTGGTAAGATTTTTGTAATTTTTGTGAATGCTGTTTTTAATTTATAATTATTTGAACTTAATCTGAGAAACTCATGGAGAGCTTGGTTTTACAGATGGGTTAAACAAATCAATGGACTGATTTGGTATAAAGCAATGTCTTATACTTATGAGCAGTAGTTACTAGGAGTTCGGTCTGGTTTAGCTATCTAGCTCTCTCTCTATTTTGTATTCTCTGGGTGTGCTGGACTCTGATTTCTGTCTTCCTCAGCCAACGCAAATACCAGGTTGTTGGCTGGGATGATAAGAACTTTAATCCAAACTCATGTAGTGACAGGTTTTAGAAATGTGTCTGACAAGGACTATTAGGGATGCTAGCTAATAATTGGCAATCTGATCCAATATTTACAGCATCAACAGATATAAATGTGTCCTTTTCTAATGGAAAGTCTGTCAGTCTATTTACCAGGCAGACAAATGGACAGATAGACAAGGTAGATAAGACTATAATCTACAATTATGAATGAAAATACCAGTCAAAATTACAAATATTAATTGCGTATAATTAAAGTCCTTATTATGCTATAAATGCTGACTGTCGGGGGAAATGGCTTGAAAATTGAAGATTTGGTAAGGGATACCAAAAAAAAAAAAAAGCCAAATGAAGTTACAGCTTCATCAGGTTCACTGATTCTATCTTGAACATTTCATGCACTTCAGTGTCAAATGTGGCCATCTCAGAAATCAGTAGGGGCCTGGGTTTTTATTAAATCTGAGCCCCAAATCACAATAAAAATGACAACACTTTAAACACAGTGTCCCAAATTATATGCCAAAACTTCAGTATTCTTAAAAACAAACGCTTTAATCTGACACATTCTTTAAACTTAAGCTCAGACTAGTAGGCTCTTTTGTCACCATTAGAATCCAGTTGATACTAAAATACTAAAAACATAAAGTTACAGGTGCCTTTGGACAGAGAGATTCCCCTATAATATCCACCACCATCCCAAATCCCAACAATGGTCACTCACCTCCCATTTGCTCCACTTAGAAGGTGAAGGTTTCTTAACCCTCTGGGGAAGATTAACTTCATTATTTCCTCGAGCGCCTGCCTGGCTGCCCGTTGTCTGCTTCCGCTGTACCGTTACTGATTTCATGTTCCTCCCTGCTCTTGCATGCTTATTATTAGCCAGCTTTTTACTCCAGGGAAGCATTGCCTGTCTCATCCTCCTCCTGTCGCTCCCATTCATGCTTCATACCCAATCCCTGCTCTTTTCTTAGCCACGCTTCTTGCTCTGATTTATAGCCAGCAAGAAAAATAAAATATAGGGTTCATCAAGGTGCACACAAATGAAACACCAGATTCATCACTTCTCTCTTTCCAGCAAGCAAGATTCCTATACCATTTTTTTCCCCCTGGGAAATAAAGCTTCCTGGATTCTGGGAAATTCATCAGGGGATTTATTTACTTAGCGTATGACAAATACATGGATTTATAGTGGTTCAAATGTTAATGTCCAGTCCACCCAGCCATTCAAGGACAGGGTGGTCTATGTTGAAAAAAATCAGACATCGGGCCGCTGCAAGCTCTTGATGGACATTTGGACACAATGTGATACATATTTTGTCGAAGAGCACCACAGTCACACTGAGGGGTAGAGACAACACCCCACTTAAACAATGAGTCCTGGCAGACACCATGTTGGGTACGGATCCTGTTCAGAGTTGACTAACGCTGGCGAGGAAGGTCAGAACCCGGCACCTTTTGTGTAGGGTCAGCTACAGAACTGCCTGTATCTGGGCTTTCAGCAGCCCATTTGTCTTTCCACTGTGTGTTGATGTCAAAGTTGATAGACAGCTGTTGAGCAAGTGCTAGAGAGGGCTTTCTGGATTTAAGCCTCAGGGATACTTGCGTGAGATAAATGCAAAATGATGGGCATAATCAAACTGTCCTGTCCAACAAGGGAAATAATCTTGTTTTCAGCAAGCTTCTAGACATTTTGGGGTTTACATTTTGTTCTGTAAGACATTTTTCAGCTTTACTCTGATTTCTTAATAAATACCAGGCAATCAATTAAATGGTAACTAATTAGATATCCATTAAAAAAAGATGTGAAACATACAGTTTTACATCAAGATAAAAGCAAGCTTTCCTTTGGCTTGAATTAAAATAATAGCCATTCTATTAATGTTCTAATAAGCGTGTATGTGCACAGTCATACACAATAGCTCTAACTGCATTGCTGCATTAAATTAAAAGTGAAATCTAAGTATTAGTTATTGCCATAAACTTTCAGAGTCTTGGGCATTTTGGGGGAGCACGAGAGGATATTTAAAACCATAGTTATCTACTTTTTATTTTTTACTTATATGCTCAATTTTCATAGCCAGCCATGTCAGACAAGTGACTCTGAGCAGTGAACAATTATAAAATAAAATAAAATCAATACAAGCACCAATAAGTATTTTAAGTATTTGGCAGCCAAGTATTTATTTTTTTAGTTAATACACTATTCTACAACCTAGCATGAAAAAATTAAAATGTCTTCAAATCTTCTATATGCAAGACCAAACTTGAAATTTTAAAATATTGTTCTTACATATTCTTGCACTATACTTCACTTCCAGTTGAACAATAGAACTTCTTGATAGGAACGATTCCACAACTGAATCAATTACCTAGTGCGTGGCCAAAAATCAGCCTAGCAAACTTCAGACCAATACATCTTATTGAAAAGCATACACTTGTGTGAACTGGAATGAAATTTAACAACTTGAATGTATAAAACACTCATTGTTTAAACAAGTGTCATAAACCTTTTGATGTATTTAAATTAGGCAACCTCTCCTTTGATTGTGCTGGTAAAATTTCTTTATTATTTGCTCATTTGAAATCAATCTTCTTGGAAGTCATAAGGCTTTGATATTACTTTGTCCTTTTTTAAAAATCTTGATGTCAAATTTGTGTCCATTAATTCTTTTGAGAACATCCGTCCTGTTAGTCCTACTAGAATTCAGAGGAGGGTATTGCTGTTAAACAATGGTATATATTACACTAGAGAAAGAATATGTGAAGGCATCTTGAACCTTGGATGTGAAGTTATTGGGGCCTGTGATAGTGCTGTTGGTGTAAATGATGAGTTTCTTGTTGCTTGTGAGATTTCATTATTGGAGATTTTAAGACAGGAATGTTTAACAGCTGTCTCTTATCTCTGAATACAACAAAATGGTAGTCTATATAGCCTACAGATCCACTTTAAGTACTATTATTTCCTGTCTCTCTTTGTCCTTTCCTCTTCAAACAAGAGTGTCACTTCTTTATTTACTACCTGTCTTTCCCACTATGATGGTTGGACAAATTGGTCTCTTCCTTTGCTTCATTTTATTAACCTTACAACCTCGGTTAATTAATCTTAACCACCCTGACTCATGGGCTAGTTGGTTTCTTTTTCTCACACTAGCACCTTCCTTCCAATGTACTGGCTTACAATTGACCATACTTGTACTTTTCTTGGTGCCAAATAAAAGATGGCTTGTAATTGTTCTCATTTGGGATATCTTACAGCCCTGGTATTTTCTAGTGGTCTCCTGCCATGTCTGAATCTGCTTAGATTCCAGGCCCAGGCAAAATTAACCAGATGCTGCACCTGCTGAGACAATGATATATTTTCTTATAAATTTATCTGTACTTATTATTTAAAATTTATTTGCTTTTATCAGAGGTTTAGAGAGATGGTGGGAAATTGCCATATGCAAAGACCAATCTTCTCAATCAAGTGCCTTCAAGCTATACTGAGAGTGTAACTGGCTGGACTGTTAAATAGATAAGCTTCGACTGGTCACAGCTATCCAGGAGACATTTTGGATTCTATCTGAAAATGTCAGGTGCTATACACAAATCTTTCTAAACACAAAGTGTATCAATCTACAATTAAGGTATAAGGTTCCTGACACAAAGTAGAGCTAAAAATTTTATAGTGATTAAGGCACTAGTGTAAGTGTAGGGAGACCACCATATTCATGTCTATCATTTGTCAGGGAAACACACTGGATGACTTTGGCCCAGTCACACTCTTTCTGCTAAAGACACAGTTTTGTTCTTGTGGCAAAAAAATGGAAACAATATATATTATGAATTCCTAAAGGATGGTACTAACAAACAACAAGCATAATAAAGTTTTCTTTTCAAGAGAGAGAAAACTAAAGTTAATGACTATAACTACTTACTTGAATGTCCAATATATTTTTAAGAAAGGCTCTAAACTAATCACCTTCAATCTATTTTTATTGCACTATATTGAATGTAGAGCAACTAATTAATGTACAAAGATTGGATTTGTGCAAACATACAAAATGGTTACTGGCTAATGTATTTCATCCAAGTTCAGCTCCAGATATATTTTATCTTCTGTGGAAAAAAGCTGAAACCTGGACTAGCATACACATACCTCTCCCCGTTGTTCACCACTATCCAGTAAGCATATAGGATGGGTTTCCCAGGACATGCTGATTCATACATGACCCAAACAGTGGTGGGATTCAAAAAATTTTTACTACCAGTTCTTTGGGTGTGGATTGGTGGGCGAGGCAGGGGAAGGATACTGTAAAATCTTCAGTCCGAGGTGGTATTTGCCAGTTCTCTGAACTACTCAAAATTCCCACTACCAGTTCTCCGGAACTGGTCAGAATCTGCTGAATACCACTCTGGACCCAACCCTATTTTAATTTGTACGCCATGCAAACTTCAAGGGAGTATTGGAAGAAAAATCCAATCCAGTGCCAAGCTAGAATTTAAAATAAAAAAATCAATGAAGGCTGGCTGTAAGAAAACAAGATCTGTTTATTTGGTTTCCAGAAACTTCAGTGAAAGGAGCATGTTTCTGGGGTGGCTGACAAAATGGCTGAGTGATGGATGGATCTTTATAGGGTTCTGGGTTTGTTTTTTGTTTTTTTGAGATGTTCCAGGGGGTTGTGCAAAATAGTGGGCCTTGTGTCTTTTACTATTTCAGTGGTGGTGAGTTAATCCTAATATGCCCTAAAAGTCATGTCCTATCCTTAGAATTTGGGTGGGGGGGATGTAAATCTTAATCCCATCCACTCCCACTGAGGGCTGTAACTGTGGCTGAAGGTGTTTTGTTTATGAATAGATTGGCCCAGTCTTTCTGAATGGATGCAAAACTTGCATTCCTAAAGATCAGCCTCTTCAAGCTTCTTACTTTGAAACTGTTTTCCTATGGCAGAAAGACTGGGGCTGCTTTCTGCTTTTGTTAAAAAAAATTCTCTATTTCTCCTTTGGGGAAATATTCTGTCTCTTTTTAATATTAAGAATATTTTAAGGAGGCCTTCCTACAGGAGTCTTATGTTTACAAACTGAAAGTTGATAAACATATCTCTAAAGAACTGGGTGTATCTTCAGTATCATTTGCTTTTTTCAATTTTGCTTTTTTAAAGAGTGATTTCCTCAAGTTCTGCTTTTTTACAAATGCGATTTGATGCTCACAAACTTGTTTTTACATCCCCACCAGAAACAGTTAAAATTGTGTCTTCTTACTTGATGGTGAAGGAGGAAGAGAAATGAAAAGGAGTCAAAAGAAGTATCCCATGTACGTTTTGTTGACTAAAAACAAAAGAGGAATGCTTCCCATGCTGCAGTGAACCTTAAAAGTCAGAGGACAAGAAGTACCAGATCTAAACTTATGCAGGAGAGATCCAACTAGAACTGAGGAGAAATTTCCTGACAGTGAGAACAATTGCCTCCAGAAACGGTGGCTGCCCCCATCATTGGAGGTTTTCAAAGAAAAGATGGGACAACATTTGCCTGGAATAGTACAGCATCTTCTGCTTGAACAGGCGGTTGGATCAAAGGCAACACTCACCCCCACCCAAAAAAAAAAAAAAAAACGGTCCCTGTTATTCTGCTGTTCGAGGTCTGGGTCAAACCAACCCGCCTCGCCACGCTGCTTATGTTCTCTAATGAGGGATGGAGGAGCGAAGGACTGGAAAAGAGGCGGAGCTTTCAAGCGGCGAGTCCGCACGAGTTTCTCCGAACACTTAACAGTCCGTGGGTTCTTTTTTTTTTTCCCGTCTCACTTCCTATTGGTCGACGGAGAGCGCAGGGAGAACCGCCCCTTCGGGGCGATTGGCTGGGCTTGAGAGCAGGGTTCCCGGATGTTGAGACGTTACAACGGGTATAAAGGGCTCGTCGAAGGCGGGAGAGGGTGCAGTTTTGAACTGGAGTCGTCGTCAAAGAGCAGCGGCGGCAATCAAAAGACCGGAAAGTAGTCGTCTTCGATTGGTCTAAAAACGATTCTCCCCCCGTGGGTGGACAGACCTCGTTGGAAAATGGTAAGATAACGGCTAAAAGGGACAATTTAGGAAGCTGGGGGCGCCCGGCTGAGCGGGCGGATTCTTCTCCCTCAAGGGCTCCTTTCAGAAGCGAGACAGCCTTGTGGGGGGAGTACTCCCAACAGAATTCAGGCTTGAACGAATTGGGGAGTGGGGGGGAAAGCAAAGAGGGGCGCGGTCACGCACGCGGTACACCCTACTGCGGTGGTCGAGCGTTTTATAGTTCTTGAGGCGCATGCGCTCACAGCCGTGCTAAAGAGCGGCGGGCGCGTGCGCGGCGGCTATTTCAGCGGCGGGTGGGGGACGGCCGGCGTGGCTCCGCTCAATGCGCATGTCTCGTCTCCGCGCTTCCGAGGCTTTATTGGCTGAGGAACTCTGGGAGTTGTAGTCCACAAGTCTTAAAGTGGCCACGGTTGGAGCCCCCCCCTGCTCTAGATTTAAATGCCGAGGAACAGCCGCGTCATTCGTATCTTGTGCCTTTGCAAAGAAAAAGGGGCTCCTTTTCTCGGCGGCGGGAGGAAAGAATACATGGTGTTAGTGAGGGACGTTTCTCGTGTAAGGGATTTCCTTTCTTCCTCCCCAGGCTGGAGGAAAAGCTGGAAAGGACTCCGGGAAGACGAAAACCAAGACGGTATCCCGGTCACAGAGAGCCGGTTTACAGGTGGGTAGGGCACGCTAAGAGTTTAGGGTATTTGTTTTTCGCAGAGTCGAGCGTTTTTGCGTTTTCTGGCAAAAGGGAGGAAGCTAAAATATTAATCCTTTTAGAGCAGGGACCTCCAAACTTGGCAACTTTTAAGATTTGTGGACTTCACCTCCCAGAATCCCTCAGCTAGTCATGCTGGCTGGGCAATTCTGGGAGTTGAAGTCCACAAATCTTAAAGTTGCCAAGTTTGGAGACTCCTGTTTTAGAGTTGAACTAGTTGCTGGTGGTTTTTTTTTAAGCTACATAGATTTGAAACAAGTACAATTGTTAATTGTTGTAATTAGGTACAATTAAAAGATGAACAGTGGTAAATGTTGTGTTTAAGTATTGAGCTTTTTTCTTCTTCTGAGTGTACAGTTTCCTGTTGGTCGTATTCACCGGCACCTGAAATCGAGGACAACAAGTCATGGGCGCGTGGGGGCTACAGCTGCCGTGTATAGTGCTGCTATCTTAGAGTACCTCACAGCTGAGGTGAGAGCTTGGTTTGGGTAAAAGCATCTTACAATTGTAGGACCTATAGGATGTTGTTGTATTTTACCTTTTATTTCAAGTAGAATAGCTGTATTTGTTACATTATTTACTGAATTTTTCTGGTCCGAAAGACAAGCTATAGTTATCCTAGAGCAGCATACAAGCAATATAAATCAATGCAAATAAAAGCAAATATTGTTTCAAAGGTCTCTAAGCATTTTTCTCTTGGCATAACTGATATAACTTGAGATAATAAAGGGAGAAATTCAGTGGAGAAAAAAACCCAAATTGAAATACAAAAGGGGATTGAAAAACACTATGGTATATGGACTCCCAAAATATAGAGTAACTGAATATATTGTTGATATTGGTTATTAAAATCCAGGTGTAGTTGTCTACCAATTTACAAGCACTCATCAATGTAAGATAACTTTGGCTAATTGTCACTTTTGGACTTCAAATTTTGGATTTCTGCCAAATTGTTAATTTGCAGAACCAAATCTTTAAATGTTTTGGTTATTTAAAGCTTTAGATTAAAAAATATAAGATGGCAGCCCTAGTGTCTGTCCTCAATAGCTCCCACTGCAGTATATTCTCTGACTTATCTGTTCCTAAACTTCTGTTTCCTTCTGCAAACACTAATATCAGTTTTTTTCCATTCTTTACTACCCGAAATCACTGTTCAAAGCAAAACAGCCATGGTTGGTTTGTTTGTGCATATACAACAAAATACCCAAAACATATTTTTCAATGTGGCATGCACTACTGAAAATCACTGTTCCATAGGATGTTCTGCACATTCATATGCTATACTGATGATTGCCTTATTGCATTACCATAGCTCAGGGGAAATGTATCACTCTCCAAGTTCCTTTCCAGCATTTCTGATACGTTCCAGGACCATCGACTGTCAAGACATCATTTGTTGTGGATACCAGCTTCCTTAACTTTTCCATAGGTCTCTACAATGAAGGCATGGTTTTAAATGGGATGCTTTGCAATTAACAATTTGTCTTGGTGTCATCTCTATAGGTTCTTGAGCTGGCAGGGAACGCATCTAAAGATTTGAAGGTAAAGCGAATTACTCCTCGTCATTTACAGCTTGCAATAAGAGGTGATGAAGAACTGGATTCATTAATCAAAGCAACAATTGCTGGTGGAGGTATGTGTTAATTTTACTATTTTGTGGCATCTAGTTGATGCTTTAACCTAATGATTCTGTGCTTCTGTCACTTAACTGAATCTTTTCCTTTTTTTCTTTCAGGTGTAATTCCACATATTCATAAATCTCTCATTGGGAAAAAAGGTCAACAAAAAACAGTTTAAAGGATTACTTATTAGAACTTTCAAAAAGCTATGTTGTCCATTGTTAGTGGATTTCCAATGGACTTAATCTGTGAAATACAATTTTGCCTTTCTTTAATCTTGAAGATGGAACCCATCAAGCTTTCTAACCAAAATTCTGCATTGAAGTCTTAATCTTATTTAAGTGTTACATGGCTTCAGAGAAGCTATTGTCTGTAGTGGTTTTTGACTGTTTTAGATATGTTGGATTTTAATGGGATTCTTGACATTGTTGCTAATATGTAATTTTTAATGCATTGAGTACATTTATTGAATTATACTATGACATTTAAAACAGATTTGGACATCAGCATTGCTAATTAAATGAAATTATAAAAACTTGAATTATAAAGCTTTGATGTTAATCTCTTGTAGTTAAGAACAAAAAGTTCCAAAAGAAACAACAGTGTTTATGTCTTGTACAGAATCTGAAGGAGTTAAATGAATGGATTGCTTTAAGGCAGTATGTTTGAACCATTTTTAAGATGCTGACAATGTGTATGATTAGTTAGGTCAAGTTCTTGAAAAGTACTTTACAGTAAGCTATGTATATCGTTTAATTATTTGGTCCCCATTTCATGGAAGCTGCTGATCTTACTGAGTGCTAATGTGCATGCACTGTGCTAGCACACATATAGATTAAAACCCTTGCAAAAACTGTTTCACGACCAGTCACTGCCAAAGGAATCACATTAAGCCATATGACTTGTATGGTTTTGGTTAATGTGTAAAGCTAAGCATTGTGGCTTGTATGCCACATCTGACATGGGGTATTGTTCATGCTGTGCCTTCTAATGTTTTAAACTAATCTTCAGTACTTGCAGCTGTGTTGCTTCAGCTACCATTTGAAATAAGCATTGTTCAGATAATTCCATCCAGTTTACTGTATATTAAAATTGAAATTTCCAATTGAACTTCGTATGTTCAGTAAAAGGCTGTTCTGTCCCTTTCTTCACTCACCTAAAAATACATGCCTTAGAATGTATAATTTCAAAAAACTGACGTTTTGTTACATTTGTGTCCTGAGTTTCCTGGGAAGAGAGACTATATTACTTGAATTTACTGTATTTCTGCCTTGTCAATGCTGTATGTCATATAATAGATCATTAATTTCTTTACAGAAAAATGTACATTCTAAGTTTATTAAATTAAAACCAAATCATAAATCTTAAATATTTCTATACAGCATCAGTTAGTTTAGATTAAGTTGTTGCTAAAAGATTTTTAACCATGATGGTTGTATTGACCCCAAATTAATGAGTTGGAAAAATGAAACAGGTATTACTTTACCTGTTCTAGTGGGCATCATCTATAATGTACAAATAAAGTTACTGAAAAATATTTTCAATTGTGATGCTTACTTCACAAAGAAGCAAAGAGCTTTGATTTCAGCATAACAGTACTGTCATGTGGGAAAGTACTGAGTTGCATGCAGTGACTCATAGGTCTTGTAGTTCCAGACATGGCTTGCTAATGCCAACAGCCTTGTCAAAAAATAAAGGATGTATCAGCCATCTTGTGTCTCTGGGTGATGGGAGTTGATCATAATGGCCCTTAATGGTTAATAATTTAATTAGTAAATGGACTAGGATTCCTGAAACATGAAGAAATAATGTTAAACAGGTGTTAGTTTGCTTTTTTTTTTTTTTTAACTACCAAAGCTGTTCCCTGGTATCTGCTATCTTGTTTCAAGCACCTGGAAAAATTTTGGAGATACTTAGGCGAAGGTCAAAAATAAATTTTGGGTAGTAGCACCCTCTTAATACTGCTAGTAAAACCAAATTTAAGGCAGCTTGCAAATATCTCAAGAGCAAAATCAATTGTAAAAATGACAGTGTTAGTCCACTAAGAATAAGCAAAGACACGAGAAATTGAACCGTTTAAAAAGCGGAGTTGGATTAAAACTCAGCACTTTACAAGCAAACGGAGCAGGCCTGACTGGCGAGCTGTAACGACCACGGGCTTTGTGTGGGAAACCGACCGAGTAGCGAGCAGAACCTGCGTTTTAATCCAGACAGTCCCGGCGGCGCGTGCGCAAAGGCAGCTCCGCTACCGGCTGCAGCGCTTCCCGGAAGCGAGAGGAGCAGTAGCGGCTCAGCTGTTTGTCTCAGGCCGCCGCGACGTTTGTGGGCACCGGGTCCTGGGGAAGGGAGGACGATGTACCAGAGGAGCGCCGGCGGCAGCGGCCTAAAGTGAGCCTTAAGGCCGTGCGAGCGAAGGCGTCGCCGCCGAGTCAGCCCCGGCGCCCGGTTTCCTCGGCGCCCGTCCGGCTGGCCCCGCCGCTCTGGCCCCGTCAGGCCCCTTTTCTCTGCGCTGCGGCGGGCGGAGGCGGCGGAAGGAAAAGCCCATGGAAGGGAACCGGGACGAGGCGGAAAAATGCATCGGGATCGCGCGAGAGGCCCTGGAAACCGGCAACCGAGAACGGGCGCTGCGTTTCCTCAATAAGGCTCAGAAGCTCTATCCGACAGAGACCGCCAAGGGTAAGCACGGGTCGCCCTAAGGCCGACGGGGAGCCGGTAGGAGCCCGCCCGGAGTCCTTTCCTTGCGGAGCATCCCCGCCGCTTGCGATACGTCAGTCTCGGTTAAGGGACGATGGCCTCGCGCGCTCCTGCTCTTCCTTCCTGGGGGGCCGGGGCCGGGGTTGGGGTTGGGGCCTTTACCCCAGATGAGGTGGGAGAGCGAGGAACAGGCCGAAGCTTCATCAGCATCGAGGCTCTTAAACAAGGTCCTTAGATAAGCTATCCTTCGTTGAATAACCCACGTTCAACCCCCTAAAGCTGTAAAGTAAACCATAGATTCCTAAAAGCAACATTTTGGCTTGTCCTTTGCGATACTGTAAGCCAAAAATCAGACCATGGTGAGATTCAACAGCAGAAGTAGCTTGGAGTACTGCACTCTAACCAATTTGCCACTGAGGCTCTCTAATAAAGTTATTATTTATTATTTATTCTAACAAATAAGCCATGAGAAAAATAAAGGGAGATATAACTAAATCTAGTTTATATTATTACCCTTCAGTATACCTTTCCATACCTTTTCTTTCAATGCAAACCATTTTCCTTGTACTGTGGCCAGATACCATTTCAACACTCCCTTTTAAAGTCGTCTTGTCTACCCATTTACTGTTCTTTCATAAATTTATATCCTAAATGTATTTGTATTATTTTGTGTTTTCTTTATAATTAGTAGAATGCAGACTCAAAGCTTATTGGCTTATAAAATAATATTCAGTTTAGAGATCATAGTTTACTTAAAGTAGTGTGAACATACTTTGGGGTTAAACTTGTCTTTGGTTGCAATTGTGGCATATTGGCCAAAATGTGCCAAAACTATCTTGGATAGTTGATAGTGATAATATCAATATTATCTTGATATTAGCAAGGAATGCTACATTAACAAGGACATAATCAATGCTGGTAACCTAACAAAGACTGTTTATTAGTTAATTAGTGATATTGTGTGTTTATGAGCTCACAAAATTTGGATAACCTACTAAACCATAGTTTTTATTATTAGATTTATATTGCACTTATACAACTCAAGGTGGTCTACACAATTGTTCCCACCTCCTGTTATCTGGCCCAAAGTCACCCAGTTGTCCTAAGAATGGACTAGAATTCACATTTCCCAGCTTCTAATCTAGCATTTTAACCACTACAGCAAACAATTTAATGGATTAAATTAACTGTGGATAGCTATTTCATGTGAACATAACCACTGATGTAATGAAATGTGCAAACTCATCAGTTTCAGTGAACTATGTTTATGTGTAAAGTACTTTAGTGTTCTTGCAACGTTTTGTATTTTCCACTCTCCTATCAGTGATACTCTCATTTGATTCACATTTCTCCCCTTTTTTGATGTTCTTGCTGTGGAAGGATGAGTTATCTAGTCTTACTTGTACTCCATTTTGTCTTGAGGGCCAACTTGAAATATAGGTTAATATAGACTTTTTAAGAAAACGTTATAACTTCAGTCAAACTCCAAAATAGTTTTATAATACAACATCCAAACAAATGTCTAAATTTGCAATTTCACAGTCAAGCAAATTCACCAGCTGACAGTTACAGAGGCATATAATTGTGAAACACATCAAAGGCATCATAAGAATAAAAAGGTTTATTAACATTTTCATTCTAGTTTTGAATATATTGCTTGAAAATGTGTTATTCTTTGATTATAGTTTATGGTTTTCACTTGGGAAAGGGAAAGGGAGAAAAGTGAATGAGATATATTAAGAAAAATTTATTGGGTATATTCGAGGTGCTGTTTTTTTTAATTCTCAAATTATTTTGAGCTCTCAAAAATATTTGAGTTTAAATTAATGATTTCAATCCTATTAATATGACTTGTACTTTCTGAGTTGATGAACATACTACAATAGCATTGTTGGAGATATCAATAATGCTTCTTCCTTTAAAGCTTGTAAGCTGCTACTATTTATAGTAGTAGTTATATTGATAGAAATTAGCAGGTAAGGATCAGCATTAAAACCAGCTAATATTTTTATCTCAAGATGTTACTTGAAGCAGTTATTTAAAACAGTTAGGTTTTCTTCCACTTATTATAAATGGATTATAGATGGAGTTTTCTGCCTCTATCCTTACGTCATTCAAAGCCCTGTAAGTTTAAAACATAGATTAGCTAAAGCAAAATTTAGTTTAAATCATCATATATAGTGTATGCTAAAGTTTATTCAGTCTAGTGTGCTCTAGGGGTGAAGGTGCTGAGCTAGGAAGGAGCAGAAGACCAAGCTCTAGTCTACCATCTACCATAGAAGCTCACTGGGTGTCTTTCGGGAAGTCATTCTCTCTTAGCTCAGTACACCTCAGAGCTAGTCATTGTTTTCCAACTGTTTCTTCAGAGACTGTTTGAAGCTACAGTGGTGTTGAAAAAGTAGGGTTTATGACCAGCCCTTTGAATTTGAGGCTGTCACAACATCCCCATGTTCTCATAGACATGATTGGAGCACTTGGCAACTAGCAACTTTTACAATAGTTGTAACATCCCATCATTATTTGCAACATTCCCTGCTGGCTTCCCACAAGTAAAGTCAGTGCAGAATCCAGCAGTAAGTTGCAAGTCATGGTCACATGACCTTGCAATGAACAACCACAGTGATTTGCTTAAGAGCCACCGCAGTTGTAAGTCGTGGTCATGTGAAGTTTCAATTAACAACTACATCACTTAGCATTGGAGTTGCTAGTCCCAATTGAGGTTCAGTAAGTGAGGAATAGCTTTTCTGTTTGTAGTGTTTTTCTTGCTTTTTTTTTAATCAACTAAGTGTTGATCCACTGGTTGTGTGGGAAATTGACCAATCATCTTGTTGCCCAAGCTTGACATTGTGGGCTGAGAAAGACTGACTGGCCCAAAGTCACCCAGCCAGCTTTCATGCCTAAGGTAGGATTAGAGCTTGTGGTCTCTTGATTTTTAGCCTGATACCTTAAGCACGAGACCCAAGTGAGGACTACCTATGTGAAGAAAAGTAGAATACTGATTGCCATCTTGAGCTGTGGCATAAGCTGCATGATGTATCTGAATCAAATAAGCAAACTAATAATTGCATACTGGGTGAAGGCATGAGTAAAAATATATGGGATGCCTTAGGTTAACAAAAAGAGAAATTCACCATGGTGCTAAATGTATTTGATAAGCTGTTAATTGTATGACATTCAGGGTACAGCAGTAGATTGTATCTTAATCTTTTTACTACAACATGACAATTTACAGTTAACATTTTAAATTAGGAATCTTAAAACTCACACTACAATTGCCAAATATTTCATTAGCTCAGATCCTTATATAGATAGTAATTCATTTTCAAAGTTACATCATGTTAACACCTTGATAGCAAGCAATGAAATGAGAATGTTTCATTTAGTTCATTAAATTTAAAAATTCTATAACTGTATTGGCTACTCCACAGATATGTGATTAAATTAAATAACTTCGTTATCTCAAATTTCATTCATATGTGCATTGTTCATGTAATCATACTTTTACACAGGTCTGTTAATGTTAAATTAATACATTATAATTAAACTCAATTGTTACACAGATTTTTATAGTTAGCCTTGGTTTTCTTTTATTACTATCCTAATTTTAACTTGTAGCTACATGACAATTACTTTAAATGGTTTAACTATACACTTACTTATATGTGAAAAATTTCTCCAACATGCCCTCAGAATTTCTAGCTTGATGAATATGGGCTGCTTTTACATAAATTGTTTATATTTACTATGTCATTTTTTTAAAAAAATTCATTAATAAATTATCATATACCTCTTACAGTGATTTAGATTATATGAAATGACTGTGCAGCCACTTGGGTATTAAATGTTACAAATGTGTCCTAGAAGATTGGCAGTGCCTACATTTATTGTAAGAGAAGAGGCTGATATTCTTTGTTGTTTCTTTTCAGAAAGAGTAAGCCTACAAATCTATGCATGCTTACTCAGGGGATAGAGTCATTGTACCCAGTGATAATTACTTTTAAGTAAACAAATATAGACTTGTGCTAGCAAAAGCAAGTACTATAACTAGATAAAAGTCAGATTTTTTTAAAAAAATGTATATCCCTACGTTATTAAAGATTGGAGCATGAAACCCTTCTCAATTTATTTATAAATAATGTACAGTGCACTGCACTCTGTGTATGTATGTGCATTTCTACACAAACACTTGACTTTTGTATCTTCTCTTAGAACTGGCATAAGTGATGGAAATATTTGAATGTTTCATTTTCACTTTTTTTTTCTCTTTAGTGTTATTAGAGGCAATTATGAAAAATGGGAGTGCTGCTGGAAGTGGTACTCACTGTCGAAAACCAGCAAGTAAGAATGATAAAAGTAAAACTAACAGCATGAAGGACAGCAGTGCATCTGCTGCAGGTGAAATTGGCAAGACTTACACCAAGGAGCAAATTGAAGGAGTACAAAGGTATTGATTGCTCTATAACACTTCATTAATGGAAAAATTAAATTTTAAAAAAATGTCTATAGGTAAATTAAAAAATACCCGATTTAGCACAAAAATGTGCTTCAAACTGTTTCATTGTACACTAGCTACAAGTTTGTTCTGATCTTTTTTCAACAATTTTAGGGAAATTATAATGTTTTTTACAATGATGATTTTAATGTCAGAGCAACCCTGAGTAACATGGTAGTAAACAGAATGAATGATCCAGTGAGTTTCGTAACTGAGTAAGAATTTTGCCTTACATTTATCATTTGCAATCTAATACTCTTTATTGCCACACCAAGATTGGTTTGTCTTGTTTTCAAGCAGAAAATATTTTTAGAAGTATTTCAACAATACGTGGAACACGTTGCTCAGTCTCTAAGTGGTAGTAATAAGAAATGTAAGAGAAAATAGGACAGCTAATCAATTCCATGTGCCTGAGTTTAGCCTATTTTGCTCTTCTCCCTTCTAATAATGTATTGGTAGGCACAAAATATAAGCACCCAACGTAGGCTTGTTTTCTTCTCTGTCTTCTGTGTCCTATACACAAGAGACAGTGCTCCCTTTCAGATTGTTGTAGCTCTTCAACTGAGTGTTGCTCAGTGACAGTTTGACTCAAGCGGGAGCTGGGAAAGATGCAATAGTTCTTTACTGATTGCATAAGTATTAAGCAGTTATGCGTGAAGAATAAGAAGAGAACAAAGGGGTGCTCTTTTGGTTGTTGCAAAAGAAATCTGATAATGTCATAGGAGCTAAGTTTCATTTCAGACTGCTAAAAATGAACTTGGTTTTCTAATAAAGAAAAAGGCATCTTCACAACTAACTAGTAATGTTTTGCTCACTTGACTTCAACTAACTCCCTAATCCATTATTTTTATGAATAAAACAAAGTTTTGTTACATTACAATAAAATAAAGTGCTGTTTCTCTGAGAGAGAAGACATGAAACCTTTCCTTCTGAACTGACTTACTCTGGTCCATTCTGGAATAGTAGTCATGCTATCTATCCCTTGGGTGTTCTTTATTTTATAGTTTCTAGTGTTTGAAACATCTTTCTTAGTTGTTGCATCACTGACCTGATAATACTTTAATAATGAAGATAATACTAATAGTATTGCTAATATTGAATAACATTAAAAATACAACTCATGTAACTTTGTCAGGTGACTGAATCTGGATGCACCTATTTTCTAGATGCTTTAATCTATCAAGAAAATAAATATATTAAAACATACTTTTATGTATGGGTTTAAATATTTGCAAGACTTTGGGAAAAAATGGCAATTGTTTCCCAATCAGTCTTATATAAATAAACTTTAACCTCTGAAAAGTGTTCGTTGTTGTTAACCACAGCCACTTGCATCTCAGTTATAAAGATTTGGTTGAAATCCTAGTGCTGTAGACATCTGCTACAGCATACCTGGTAAAATAAGTGTGAAGTCTAAGGTAAAAATATCAGCTCTAGAAACAGTAGGAAAGTTATGTAAGCTTGAAAATTAAATAGTAACCTGCTCATGTTGTGTTTTGAGATTTAATGTGCATTAAAGTTTGGTCTCTGAAGAATTACTTCTTGTTATTCTGCAGCATAAAAATATGTAAGAATTACTATGAGGTCCTTGGAGTGTCAAAAGATGCAGGTGAAGAAGACTTGAAGAAAGCTTATAGAAAGCTTGCTCTGAAGTTTCACCCTGACAAAAATCATGCACCGGGAGCAACAGAAGCTTTTAAAAGTAATATTTCATTATTCTTTTATAAGAAAATGCTCCAAGCCAGAACTAGCTATCACTGCTGACCTACTGATTAGGTTACTTATTACATCTTTTTAAAGCAGGATGTATCCAGAAATTTATTCTAATGGCAATTAAAAAAAAATATGTGTGAGGATAGACGTTCAGTCCAACTTCAGTCTTCTGTTTGCCCAAAATGACCTGTCCATTCTACTGTGAGGAAAATTCAATCAGCATACTTACAGATGTATTGGCCAAATACCTGTTGGTTTTCATTCTACTGTTGGATACTTGATTCCATCAAGCATACTGAACCTTTGCAAATAAGTTAGTCAGCTTGAGTTGACGAAAGAAAATTAATTATAAACTGTATGCTATTACATTGTAAGTTCTGAATACATGAATGAAATACATGTAGTCCTCACTTTACGACAATAACCAAGTCCAATTTTTTGTTGTTAAATGAAACATTTGTTAAATGAATTTTGCCCCATTTTATGACTTTCCTTGTAACAGTTGTTAAGTGAATCATTGCAGTTGTTAAGTTAATAACGTTGTTAAGTGAATCTGGTTTCCCATTGACTTTGCTTGTCAGATCATAAAAGCTGATCACATGACTCAGAGACACTGCAGCCATCCTAAATACGAACCAGTTGCCAAGCATCTGAATTTTGATCGCTTGAACATGGGAATGCTGCAGCGGTTGTAAGTGTGAAAAATAGTCATATGTCACTTTTTCAGTGATGTAACTTTGAACGGTCACTAAATGAATTGTTGTAGGTTGAGGACTATCTGTATATCAAATCAGTTCTATCAATAGGTACTGAATTACATAATGCAAATATGGGGCAATATTACAGCTTTGTTGCAGAAAAAGCTGTAATAATGTACTATATAACAATTCAGCTACAGCTTTGGGTTTCAAGCCTTCTGCTCTAAAAAGAAATTCACTGCAGTTTTTTAAATCGTCATTCTTTGCAGCTGCTCACTCTGTTTTGTGTTTTTTTTACATTGGTTGTTATTTCTTTTGAAAATGCTAAAAAAGAGCTACAGTTACATCCTCTCTAGGTTGTAAACAGAAGAATAGGTGTGTTGTAAGACAAAATCATTTGAAAACGGGTTTAAGAATTAAAGCCATAGTAAAAGAAAAAGAACAGAAAAAGAACAGGCGCTAAATAACAAAGTCATTATTTACAGTCAGTTTTGATAGCAAATCTATTTTAGCCTTCTTTTAAAAAAAACTGCAGCTGTAGCATAACAAAAATGGACTTTGTCGTTTAGAATATATTTGGAAGGAATCTGTTTTCAAGATGATGGATGCTGTCTAGGGTTTGAGAGATTCTTTAATGGATTCTGCTAGATTCAAAGAAGAGAGAGCTCAAATGGTAACAGAAGAAAGATGAACAAGGTAGAGAAAATCAGCTTTGCATTTCTCACTGATCACCTACTAAATCCAGAGTTCCCTCTGAAGGGAAGGGAAGTAAAAGGAACCATGTTTTGGAACCAAATAACACTAAATCTTTCAAAACATTACTTTGGGTTTTTAAGCCATATTTAGCTACACCTATATCAGCCTTTCTAATTGTTTTTGGTTACCAAGATCTAATATAACTTTCCACATCTCAGGAAGAATGCTTTTTGAAGGCAAAAATATCTTAGGAATTCTAGATTTATAGAATATTTAAATTAAATAGCAAAATGTGATCAAATATGGCAGGAAAATCTATCCATCATCTTTCTTCCAAAAAGGAAAAAAAAGCTTTTCAAAAATTAGTTTGTCACATTTCAGGAAAAGCTAACACCTTATTTGGAAGGTGATACCTTTTGACCTTCCTTTCTGTTGTTTACTTGTAGCATATTATGAAACTTGCTACATTTTCCAGGATAGTGTGCAGAAAACAAACATAAAAGCAATTTAAATAAAAAGTTAAGTATAAGTTTAAACAAAATTGGTACAAAATAGAATTTCCGTCATCTCAAGATTTTTTGCACACATTACAAAACTAAGCAATTCAGGCTGCGCAAATTTTTAAAACAGATGACAGGAATGATGCACATTGCAGCAAAATTTTATTTTGGTTTTTTTCCTCAATTCCCAAAAGGGGAAAATACAGTATGCAAAATCACACATTGCATTTTCATGGCTGTTGTGTTGTGTGAAAAAAGATATTGCAAATCATGCTATCTGGGTGTATATTGAATTTTTGCTTTCTGATCCAAACATTTTGATTTTGACTTGCTGGACAGCAGTAGTCATATCTGTATTATTTCAGATTTTTTTCTTTTTTCCTTTTACATTCTACCTTCAGAGATTGGAAATGCATATGCTGTGTTAAGTAATCCAGAAAAACGCAAACAGTACGATATCACAGGCAGCGAAGATCCCTGCAATCAGCCAGGCAATGGTAGATTTAACTTCCACAGGGGATGTGAAGCAGATATCACCCCAGAGGACCTCTTCAACATGTTCTTTGGAGGAGCCTTTCCAACAGGTCTGTTTAGCTGACAAAAATAACAAACTTTTTGTTGTTCTTGTTATCTGTAAAATTGACTTAAACTCTTTCCTAAAATAGCTTTCATTTGTAGCATTGTAGCAAAGTAATTAAATACTATGTGTGCTGACAGATTATAAATTATAAAACTGCTGTAGGACAAAAATAGAACTCTTTTGAATTGCCTCATGCAAGGATGGGCAACTTTTTGATCAACCATAGAAATGGATAATTAACATTTCTCACAAGATTGAGTATTGCAGTGAGCATGATTGCATGCAGGATGAGGAAATGTCATACAGTTTGATGGCAGTGTATGCAGGGGTTTTTTTGCAATTAAAGAACAGAAGATAGCTTAAGGATTTTTTGTTTCTCTTTATGCTACACTAAATCTATTTTAAGGTTTATGCTATAAGTTTCTATGTCTTCTACATCTAAATAGCATCAACTGGTTTGACAGATGTGCTTGGAGAAGGTTCTGCAGGTTACCATTCCTAGATTCAAATAAAAGGTTTCTAAAACATTATTTTTATATTTAGGTTCTCATCAGTTCCCTCTGGTTTTGTTTATAGGAAGCGTACATTCTTTTTCTAATGGACGGTCTGGGTTTAGTCACGATAATCAGCATCGTCATAGTGGACACGAAAGAGAAGATGAAAGGGGTGACGTAAGTTTCTTCTGAATAACGGTTTCCTCAGTCTAATCTGGGGTGCCTTTCTGCATATTAAATAAGTGTGCAAGTAAACAATACAAATTGAAATGCTAATAGTCCTAATATAGTCTAATCTACATGATGGATTCATATGTGTGGTTTCTGAGGAATAAAGGTTACGTGGGTTGCCCCGAAGCACCAGAGGCCATTGAGAGGGAGGGAGGAGTTCCATTTAATACAGGGATTTGAAAAGGACATTTCTGTTGAAATGTACACTCCTTCCTTTAAACAATTCTTAAAAGATTTTATGTAATCACCTTAATATATTGCAGCCTGATAAAAGCTGTATAATTCTGGATTGTGGCTATTTAGTGATATGGGAACATGATATTGGATCAGTTTCAAGACTTGATTTTGTAGATTGTTATTCTGTACTGTTTTCTCAGTCTGGATCAAATTAATTATGGGCATAGTGAATGTTCTGATTTCAAAATTCAATTATGTCAAGGAAACATAATATTTCAGGTTCAGAAGACCAGCAAAATCATCTAATAGTGTTTTGAATTTGGAATTGTTTGAACTCAGAACATTTTACATCTATTTGGCAAACCATAGATTGTTGAGATTAGAACACATTTTGAAGAAGCCTATTTTAACCCAAGGTAATGGATTTTAAACATTGGTAAGTTACAATTAAACAATATTAAACTTAAAAATAGATCATTAATATCAAAAGATTTATTAAGATGCACAGATTTCAGATGGTTTTAAGAAATGAATTTATAGGAATCTGCTATAGATACACATTTTCTGTTTAGCTTTTATGGGCCGGATAGGTTCCTTTCAGTTTTTTAAAAAATAAAATATCCTGCAATTCTTTTCATTGATTGTTGTCTTGTTTTCCAGGGAGGGTTCTCCATGTTCATTCAGTTGATGCCAATTATTGTGCTGATCTTTGTTTCTTTACTTAGCCAGTTGATGGTATCTAATCCTCCTTATTCCTTATATGCAAGATCGTAAGTAACAATACTTTATAATTATCTTTATCGCTCCTACTTTGTTAAGTCACCAACTATAAATAATTCTCATTTATTTCTTGCATCTTCTTTTACCATTCTTTCCTTCCATTCCCTCTTGGGTCCTATCCCCAAAATAACAACTGGGTATATACAGGATATTTATTTTTTGGTACTATATTTGATGAACCTGAAATGGATTGTAGTCCACAAAATATATTCATAAATACTTAAAAAGTACATAAGACTCTTTATCCTTTTACAAAAGAGTAACTTGTCTATAAAATTGCTATTTTAAATTCATTCTGTTGGTTCTACATTGTTTAGGTCTTGTTTATAGCAACATTTTTTTCTCTGTTGTATGCATCAAATCAGTAACAATCCTATTTTGTAACAAGGAGGAATGCAATCTTTTCCTTTTGTACATTTTTGTACTGTAGATATTGATCTAAAAACCTGATATAACTAATTAAAAATCCAGGTCTCCTCGATAGCATGATGGAGGTAGATGACGTTGTCTAATTAAATGTTGTGACTATGCATGGATTTAAGTTAGAAATGGAAAAGATATGAAAGACATTCTATGGTTTTATTGTTTATCAAATTTACTATCTGAATGACTCTGGGCAGTTTATAGGTAAAAGCTATAAAACAATATGAAAAAACATGATTTAAAAAAACAATTAAAACAGAGTTTAAAAAGTAAAGGAGCACTTCAAGACACCAGTCACCTCCGAGGTTGCATGCCACTCTTGTGTTAAAATCAAATGTTCGATTTTTGGAACTGGAATTCTGGGTGATGGAAATGAAGGAAAGTTTGCATTTGTGAGAAATAACCAACTTGCTAGTTTGAATTGTTTTAAACAATACATTTTTGTAGCTATTTCTGATAGTGTTACTAATGTGGATTAATGTAATTGTATATAACAGTAATTGGCAAATATTGCTGTATTAAAAGCTAAATTCCAATTGCACGCTAGGATAGTGCCTCTGGCCTCATAATTATTGAGGCAGTGAATAACTAATGCAATATTAGTGGATTTCTAGATTTGCAGCAGTAATTATTTGCTTGGAAATTAAATAGTAAATGAATAATGTACATTATAGATTTGAAAGTCTTCTTGGTTTTCTTTACTAAGTGCGGATTTTGAAGTATGCACCCATGCTGACAGTTGATATCGAATCTCTTTACAGGAGTTCAGGGCAGACTATCCAGATGCAGACAGAAAATCTGGGTGTTGTTTATTATGTCAACAAGGACTTTAAAAATGAATATAAAGGTCCAAATTTGCAAAAGGTGGAAAAGAGTGTAGAAGAAGACTATGTCTCAAATATTCGAAATAACTGTTGGAAGGAAAGACAACAAAGTAAGTTTTAACAGCTGACATTGAACATTTTCTCAAATATAACTATAAAGAGGTAGTGGGGAATTTCCTGAGCAATCTTGGCTGGATTGTTGGAGAAAAAAATCCCTCCAAATTGTCCATAATTCACAGAGATTATACCAGTTGAATTCTTCTAGCACTACCTTTTTGGCATTTTATATAAAACTAGAGGTTACGCAAGTTCCATGTATCATTTACAAAATTTCCAGTTCTGTTTTACCTCAGTCATGATCACTTCGTGATTCTCTTCATTTTGCCTCCTCCCCCTTTTTTTTTCAAATATGAGGATAAAAATAGCAATAGTGTTTAAACTTATATACCACTTCACAGTGCTTTACAGCCCTCCCTAAGCGGTTTCCAGAGTCAGCCTATTGCCCCCAACAATCTGGATCCTCATTTTACCAACCTCAGAAGGATAGAAGGCCTGGTGAGATTCAAACCACCATATGGCAGGCAGCCAACAGGCAGCAGAAGTAGTCTGCAGTACCACATTTTAACCATGGCTACTATTGATAACTTTTCTGTATATTGTTAAACTAATTTGTGTAGAACTGCCTTCTATTAATTTAGTTCTTTGAAAGCACTAGAGTATGGAGTAATGGAGTAAAAACTTTTGAGAAGGTCATGTAAACTATAAGTACCTCGGAAGCATTGTAACATAGCAGCATTGGTGGCCAAGAAGCATTGTTCTTCACTACTATTGCATCCTTGCAGTATCTATTAACTTCTTCCAAACAGCATAGCTTTTAACATTTTGGTCATTGTACAAGTTCAATGCTATTTTTTACTATCATTTGTTACCGTTTGAACAAGATAATGATTGCTGATGAAGAAAAGGAGTTGTACAGAATCCCATTTGGTAGAAGTTTGATGAATGACATTTTTCTTCTGTACTGGAAATTGTAGTCAAGATGCTTGGTGAAGCCTTATTTTCTCTCTGCATACTTACCAGCTAAAGACATGAACTATGCACAAGGCATATGTTTCTAATGAAGAAAAGCATAATTACATGCTGCTTAGGAGAGATGATTCTGTAGCAATTCCTAATGAAACATTTGAACTCAATTCCAATAGTAATAATAATAATAGCAATAACTGATAGTATATATGCACTTCCTAACCAAGTGGTTTATAAGCCACTTTCAAGCGTGGTTGAATAAAGTTGGTTTTCTGGGTACCTTTCAGTTATAGGTTTAATTGCTATGTGAGTTGTTATTTGCAAGGCAAGAAATTGAGAGGCTATAATTTTGTTAATATTCTGATGCTGTACAGTTGAAGCTATATTTTATATTAATCATTGGTTCAGCTGCTAAGCTTCTTTCAGAAAGTAGAGTTGAATTTCTACTAATTTTCCTGCATTTATTTATATTTTGTTTGCAGAATTCTATCTTACATATTAAAATGCATATTTTAGTAATTATATAACATTATTGAGTAAGGTCAACCAGAGGTTTCATATAGCACCTAACCCTAATTCTTTTTATGGTTAATCTGCTTGAGTTGATGGAGATATAAACTGAAGTTCAGTCCAAGCAAATGGGTGGTTTCTGTATTCAGTTGAATAACAGATTACAATATATATACAGAAATCTATCTGTAAATTTACATCATAGTAAAAAATAAGTAAAACATATTTAAAGCAACAGGTAGAAGATTAAAATCAAAGCAACATTTCCATTATTCATAATTTGGATGGGCATCTTTTTCTCTGTCAAAATCTGTACAAGCTATATTTAATGGAATGATAATATTTCCTTTATCCATTTCTATTTTTAATGAAAACAGATATAAAAATATTTAACATTAAAAAGTAAATAGATTATAGATTATGAAATAGAAGAGACCATTTTGTTACTTGGCAATATGTGGAAGAACCTAGACTGGGGGAGAAGCTGTTTAAATTTGATTTTCTGACATATTTTTTCGTTTATTTTTAAAGAAACCGATTTACTCTATGCAGCAAAAGTTTATCGGGATGATCGCCTACGAAAGAAAGCAGAAGCTATTTCCATGGACAACTGCAAAGAGCTAGAACGATTAACCAGTATCTATCGAGGAGGATGAGCTAAATTTTTGACCTATACTGCTTGAAGTACATGCTTTCTAAGAAAAATACTATTTCATCATGACAACTGAAAAGGAGAGATGTAAAAAATTCACTCTGTAGCTATTTCCAAAACCTTACCCTGAAGTTTCAATATCATTTAATAGCCTCTTTGTGTAGTCTGAAACATAGGACAACGATTGTTTACATCATTGAATTGTCCTTAATATTTTACTCCCAAAACTTCTGAACTTTTCCACAAGAAAGAAAGCATTTTGGACAAGCACTTCCACTAGAAATGTAGATGTAGTGGTTCTCTTATTCAAATACTTGCCATGTAAATATATGTGAGACAATTACTTATATGTATATAAAAATGTTATGGACATCTGAAGGCATTTAGAATATTAAAAGTTTCAATCTTAATAGGTGGAATAAATAATATGACTACATTATTATTCAGATGTCAGGTAGGTGGAACTAAAGAAAATTGAGGTTTTAGGTTTCTTTTTTCATTTATTTTCTCCTCATTAACAAAATTAAGATCGGTGCTGGAAGAGAGAAATGTTGCATATTGAATGTACTTGAGTTCCTAATAGCAGAATATTTTGGTATTCCAAAAGAAATCAATTAAGCAAAAGCTGTTTTTCAGGCTCTTCCTTAGTTTGATTTTTATTTCATTTTTATTTAAATAATAATCATCCAATAATTTTGGAGTGTTTTTAATCAGCTCCAATTTCTATTTTGCTATCAAAAATCAGTTAAGACAGTTGTTCTTAAAGTTCAGCCTTGTGCCTTTATTTTGTGGTTAGTTGGTTCATCTTATTTCTGAATTGTTGCATCAATATTAATAGAAGGCATCAAGGACGTTAAAGTCATAATGTAGCAAGTTCAGGCCATATGTATATGAAGGGTAACACTAATGATAAAAGTGATCTTCTAAAGATCATTTATGACATACTGCTTATATAACCACTTTTGCCAGTTTAAATTTAATGTGATTTTGAAAGAACTGAAGATAAGACATGGAATTTCAGAACTGAATTTATATGTTTATAAGCTACCATATAACTAATACAGAAAAATATTTATTTTTTACAGCCAATGTGGGATAGACTAGAAAGTAGCTTTCACATGAATTGGCACATCACTGTAAAATAAGGATGCCATTTTTAACTGAAAGATAGTACTTCAGACTTATTTCAGTGAAATAACTTGCATTGTGGTCTGCTACCTATAAAATTTAGTTTTGAAAACCTGTAATTGTTCATAGGTGGCGCTTAAATTTCTTAGTACTGACTCATAAGGTCACATGAACAGTTTCATTACTGCTAGGGAACAAAAGCCTAACCAATATGTGAGGGGCTTTTCTTTTAAACAGATATATAGCCACATTGTTTCAGAACTGCTATTTTAATAGTATTTCAACATTTTTGTAAAAAGAGAGAAATGTGAAATGAGTTTTGGGTAAAAAAAAGCATTCTGGGAACATTCCCATTAGAACATTTGTTAGATAGCAAGTTTCTTTGTTGTTCTGAATTAGTTTAAAAATGAAATTCAGTTATGAACTTCACTGAAAAAAGCAAGCCTACTGTAATCTTATTTTCCTTCATCTGCAGTCAAATTGTTGGATAAATAGTATATGTAAGATTCTGTCAAATTATTTTAGTTATGTCTTCAGTTTTATAGAGGAATAAACAATACAGATTCCCTGTAATTTTAGTTATCTATTTCATTAATGAATTCAGCTTATTTCGAAGATCACTCAGGCTTTAGAGTTGCAAAAAAATTGTTTTTAATTTTGTGCTAATAACCTTAAGTTCCATATGAATACACCAACCCTGGTCTCTATCTGTTCCTCATAGAAAGAAATGGTAAGGACAGAAATAGAAAACGTGGTAAATCAATTTTTTTAAATGTGAATGTTCAAAATTTTGTAAATTGGTTCAAAAATCAATTTAGATCACCTAATGTCTCATAAATGCTCCTTCACTTAATTCCAAGTAAAGAAGTTACAGTGAATTCAATATTTTCTATAAATTCATGATTGCAAGTGTAGATAGTTTCATAACTTCCACACATGATTATTTTTATTTGAATTGCATATTGGAGCCTAACTAAATGTTGTGTGATAAATTTTTGCAATAACATGTTCAAAAATCATTAAGCAAACTTGGACAAATTTTCCAAGTAATCTGAAGTTAAATGCATTCATGGTACTGGAATTTAACAGATTCTGCGTTGATAGAGAAAGCTTTGAAAACCTGCAGTTTAGCCAGTAAATAAGCTGAATGTATATAAGACACTTCTGTGGTCATCAAAAATACTTAGTAACTTTCATTTGTTAGCTGATTTTCAAGATTTCCATAATCTATGGGCTTGGATCTAAAGATGCATTTTCATTAGGAAGTTGTATTTGAAAGTGACTCTCTTTATATTGATTTTTCTCACCTGCTGCAGCTCACAATATACAATAATACTTTATCTTAATCTCTTAAAAGCAGGTGCTTAGAAAATTGCTAGTAAGTGTAGTAGAAAGCCTGCTTGTTCAAATTGCGCCTCTAAAATCCAAGCCCACAGTGCTGTAATAAAACGGTGAAATTAATGGAACTTGTTCTCAAATAATATATGAGATTTGGATCTCCAAGGGTGAACTACTAGTTTATAACAGACTAATTAGCCCTATTTATGTGCAGATATATACTAGAATGCTTATACTTACAAATTGTATTAATTTATCCCTCTGGTCAGGGTTAAGGATGTAATAAATTATGTTGGTTATTTGCATCATACCTTCCTTTATGTTTCTAGAATTGGGATAATATTTGCTATATATGAAATGGATACATAATTAAGCTTCAATTTTCAAGAACATTTATTTTGCTAGAGGTAAATAAGATTAATAAGTGGAAGGATTAATAAGTGGAAAGCATATTAAATAGCATTAGTAATAATTGAAAACATGGACAGTATTTCACTTTAAACATAGCTTTCAACTATAATTTTAATCAGGATTTATGATGACATAACTAAGTTTTATCTTCATTTTTTTTAAAAAAAAAATTCTTTAACGTGCTGATTTAATTGGGCTGTGACCTGATTGCCTTACACTTTTTATTTTTACTTGAAAATAGTCACAATGACTATAAATTTGATGACGGAACTTTTCCAGGTACAGAAGTGTTAAATCATTTCCATGAACACCCTAATCTCAATTTACTCATTTTATTACCAAATCATTTTTTTTTAGTTTTGGAAAAAATAAAGGGGTTTATATTAGTTAAAGAACAAAGGAAAAATAATTTTAAAAAGTCTTTCACCATCACAGCTATTCCAGCCAAAGCTGAACTTCTTTTGAATGAATAAAAAGTTGGAAGATATGTTTATAGTTCTCTTGCAAATTTGTCCAGTTCTATTTTCCATTCTACAGGTTACTTTAGTTTAGAGTTAGGGCATTTTGTATTCCTTTGACCTAAATGTTTCATGAATGGAAGGGTTATTGACTGCTTTTAAGTTGCTTTGATATATTAAAAAAGAACAGTTTCAAGCTGTTTTTTCTTTCTTTAGAATGTCAGTTACAATCTCTGCTTACTGCTTCACTGCTTTAAATGCTGCAGTATACAATACTGTTTCCAGTTTTCAAAGCATTAGGGATAACTACACCAGACAACGTGGCTATGATTTAATGAGCTATAATCCTTAGCAAAACCAAACTGGACTTCTGCTACTAAAAAATACAAAATATTCTTATTTCAAAATAATTTAAAACAAATATCAAAAGCTCTCTTCTAATACATCAAGAAACAATCCATCAAAATAAATGGAGCAATTGAGGGACAATCATTTGATATGATAGGCAGATCTTGCAGTACAAGAATCTTTTACAGGCATAAAAATTCTATTAATAGCAACCTTACATGAACGTTTAAGCATGTGCTAAAACATGGATGATTGCTTTTTGTGAACACAAATCACCTGCTTAGGTTTCTGGATGGGCATTTCCAAATCAGCCCCATGGAAATAATACAGGCCACTCTACAAAAGTGCCTAATAAATTAGGGCCTCAAAGATTTAGATTACAACAGCTTTTCTGATTTACAACAGCTTTTCTGATTTGCTGAATAACAGCACATCTCTAGATCATATGCCAGCTTTGTTAGAATTTTAATTTAAAAACAATATGCCTTACATTAAGGATTATGTTAAGGTTGCATATTTATATTTATTTATTTATTTTGTTAGGTTATATATTTTCTTTATTTCTTTTCACTGCACCAAAGTCTTTTGTTTTGGGAACTGCTGCTCTTATAAATGACTAGGTATATATGTATGCATCTGCGTATTGCTGTATGTATTTCCTAGTATCATACCTCCAACTTGTTATTGTATAATATTGTATGACTAAACATGTGCAGAGGATAGGACAAGTAGTAGGGATTTGGATGTCATGACAAGAAACATTTCCTGGAAATTGTCATTCCTTTTCTTGATAATCTTGCCCGCTGGAAGGATACATCACTTGCAAAGAGAAAGTAGAAAAACAGAATCTTAATGGTGGATTGCTCAGTGTAAAGGTTGTGTGCAAATTCTTCAGTAAATATTACCTATGCTCATAATGATAGTTTGCAATAAGAACCTCAATTTGTGATTTCATATCAAGTCATTAGCCAATTTTAGTGCTAGTTCAGGTTTTTCAGATATGTTCAAATGTCTGTATGTTTGTATATGGGAGAACATTCTGGATGAGGAACAATCAGAACGAAGAGCAAGTCAATTCTCTTTTCCTTCTAAATTTCTCTCAAACTCTAAACAAATTTTCTGAAGGAGATACTCATGTAACACAGGAAGAAAACAGTTTGGTCATATGGGCAAACATTTGCTCATGAAACTTCAGATTTCACCATCTAGAACAGCGGTGTCAAACTCACATTGTCATGTGACATATCAGGACTTTTTTCCCCCTTCGCTAAACCGGGTGGGGGGTAGGGCCAGCACGTGACTCATCCAGCCCTTGGGCTGTGAGTTTGACACCCCTGCTCTAGTAGTTCTTACAGAATCTAGTGTTAATTAAACGTGTGTAGATTTGCTTTTTTGCTAAAGCTATACTTATTTTTCCATTTGAATAAAGTGAAATAATAGAGATGTCTTACCAACAGACATTTCTTAACTATTTGCTAACCTTTCACATAACAATCTGACAATCTGTAGTTTGTTCATGAGGTTTTATAAAACTTGATTAAATATGCAGGTTTTAGTTGAAAGGGGTGCTCCCTGGGTATAAATAAATTTATTTTCAAGTAAATACATTTAGAATTTGTTTGATCTGTTTTGTCTGCTTTAAAAATATAAATGGACTTCAGTGTTAATTCTTGGAAGACCTGATAATGTTTTCAAATCAAGCTTTAAAAATCTGTCAAAGATGCCCAGTAACAAAAATCCTTTAAAATTTAGAATGGCATCTTACAAAAGAAATCTTATTTTATTTATCTGTACATTTATGGTTAGGAATAAAAAAATAAAATTTTAATTTGTAATGTACCTAATATCAGACTTATATCAAAATAAAACTATTTTCAGTGTGAATAGACTGTATCTAATTATTTGCCCAAACACATTCAGATACTAGCACAGTACATGGAAGCAACAGCACAGAGACTGTAAAATTCTCTTAAATCCTAAATCAGAATTTACAATTCGTAATGTTTAAACAAAAACTGTAAGTCAAATTAAGCCATCAAGTTAATGTGGTTTGTTTTGGCATACTATGTCAATATAAGCGTGTTTGTCAAATACAGTTTAATCTGTTGGGCAAACAAGTCTTATGCTAATCAGATTCCTTTTATTCAATGGGATTAAAAAAATCAGATATTTTAAAAGTATTCTCAGTTTATCTTTGAGTTAGTCCTGCTATGCTATAAAAACAATTTATTACATTTACAGAAGAAAATTTGATCAACAGAATATCTATTGTGCTTTTCTCCTGTGTAGCCATTAGTCTTGATTTCCATGCTATATTCCAAAGATTCTCCCAACCTTAAGAAATTTAAAAGGAAGAAGAGAAAAATGATTACATGTTCAGTGTGAATACGTTTCTGCAGCCTTACTTATCTGCACAGAGGACAAAGAATAAAATATAACAAAATTTGGATAAAAAAATAAAATGACTTTTTGCATGACAGGATTACTTCTCATAGCAATAGTTGCTGTTAAGAACTTGGTAACTCTATTCATAGCAGGTTTCTAGCCTGAACGAAGATAACAAACCACTTCTTCATTGAAAGCTTGGTCGCTAATAGGAGGTAATAAAGGTATACCAACAAGTAAGCTCTTAAAGAAGAGGCATGAAGAAATAATGGACTAAGGTCTCAGGTTCATTCTGGTCTATGGAATTCATTAAATTTTATAAAAAATCCCATACAACATTAACATTAAAGTGGGCCAAAAAAGGTTCTAGAGTGTGTTGAACAAACCAGATTGAACAGATAGTTTACAGGTTGAAAAGGTTTTCAGGAAGGAACCCATTCAGTTGCCTATAGTCTTAATGGCAATTTAAAAAAAAAAACAAATATTGGCTTTGGCTTTTTCTAGGCCTAGTAAGGAGTGAATAAAAAGAGCCAATAGAAAATAGAACCTTGAGCCAATAAGAAGCAGCATATCCAAATCCTCACCTGCAGTAGGATCATTCCTGTTACTATGCAAATAAAAAATGTGGAACTGAACCTGGAACCTATTGTACAAATGCACAATGAGTGAAAAATCAGACGATATACATGTAATTCTTTATGTTCCAGTTTTCATTTATATTCAGTATAATTATGTGGAGATAGGATTATTTTCACAGCAAAATGCTTTTAAGCAGCCTGTCCTATTTAGGGGCCTTTGGCATCCTAGTCTTTTCCGATGCATCTCAAACTACAGAACACTGGCTTCCCTCCCCCCCCGCCCTCAATTTCAGATGGCTTTTGCAAATTTTTACTTCTGAAATCTTTATTGAATACCTACCCAATTCATTATAGTGGAGAAAGCCCTGTTTCTCACAACAAAACAGGGTTCCAAGTTAAAAAAATTACTTAGGTCCAAGTGTGGAGGAAAAAGAAACCGATCAGGAAAAATATTCCTCCAAACTTTGAGCCACCAGTAGCATTTCTGCCCACCATTCTGCCTTAAAATGGAAGGTTTAGGACAATTGAGCCCAGAATTTATGTTGCGAAGTGAGAAATTTGCTATGAGTTTTGCCCCATTTTACGACTTTTCTTGCTGCATTTGTTAAGTGAATCACTGCAATTGTTAAATTACTGAGAGGGTTGGTTAAATGAATATGGCTTTCCCATTTACTTTGCTTGACAGGTCACAAAAGGGGATCATGTGGCCCCCCCAGGGGTCTGCAATGGTCATAAGTATGAAAACTGGTCCTAAGTCACTTTTTCAGTGCTGCTGTCACTTTGAATGGTCACTAAACAAACTCTTGTAAGTCGAGGACTACCTGTACTGGAGCTACTTAGAATGGAATGAAAACTAAGTTGGGAGCCAGGAAGATCGATCACCCACTGAAAAGGTTTGATCATTTTGTCTAAAATTCCCCTTGTTAAGACACTAAAAGTCTGTTGATTATTTTCTCGATCATTCGGGTCACGGTTGTATCGAAGGTGCTTTTTTCAGGAGGTAACTGGACTTTTTTTTTTCTTTTGAAGATGTTTCACTTGTCATCCAAGAAGCTTCTTCAGCTGAGAGGAAAATGGGGAATGGAAGGATTTATATTCCTTGCAGACAGCTGGTCATTTGCATCCTTTTAGTGGGTAGCTGAAGCACTTAGAGGTTTACCTGTGTCCTCAGGGTCACCTGAGTGGTGGTCTTGCTTCCTGTAGTCTGCAATTGGTGTGGGAGTAGGAATGAATTTCTAGGGGAAAAAATGCAGATTACAGGAACCAGGAGCACTACTCAGGTGACAGTGAGGACACAGATAAACCTCCAGGCGCTTCAACAACCCTCTAAAATGATGCAAATGACCAGCTATCTGCCAGGAATATAAATCCTTCCCATTCCCCACCAGCCAGTCAGAGATGATTAAGGTTCTTGGATGACAAGTGAAACATCTTCGAAGAAAAACACAAAGTCCAGTTGCCTTCTGAAAAACCACCTTTGGGACTTGTTAGACAGTATTATCCTTTGTGCCGGGAGTGGAAGTCCACACATCTTAACATGAGGCAGGTTAAGCGAAACTGCTGTACGCTACCCAGCTACGTTGACTACGCGTTCATCTTTTTCGGTTATTTCCCTCATCTCCACAACTCCTCTCGGCACTCCTCTAACGCTCCCGCCCTTTTTAGTCTCTCTAGCAACGTCGCCTACGCCAAGCTGGCTGAGGAATTCTGGGAGTTGAAGTCCACCAGTCTTAAAGTTGCCACGGTTGAAGAATCCTGGTCCAAGTCACGTGACCCCAACGTCCAAGTCACGTGAGAGATGGAAAGACCCCACCCCTTTTTTAAGTATCTCTAGTCATCTCCGGGCTAAGGGGGGCGCCTGACCGGATGTGACGAGTCACGTGAGGGATGGGCGTCGTCGAGAGTCACATGACGACGGGAAACCCGGAAAACGACGCGGGCGCAGTATAAGGTCGGGGGAGAAGACCGTTCAATGCTGGAAGGTAGTGGAGGTTCGTATGGGGGAAGAGCGGTTGCCGTATTCCGAATGCCCCGAGGGAGGCGGCGTGTCGTGTCGTCCCCACGTGGTTTAATTTCCTTATTAGGACTCCTTACCCTCTGAATATTTAGGGCGATGAGAACCTCCTTATGCCCACTTTCCTGGGAGGACAAGAATAGTCCGATGGGACTCGGGAAATGCCCGGCCGCTTCATCGCCCCGAAAATCTCGTTGCTCCTCCCTAAGATATTTCTCATTCTGTACATCCGCCTTATTTGGGTTGCTTTTTTACTTCCCTATACACACACACACACACACACACACAACAATTTTTGAATTGTTTGAAAAACGAATTTTGAAAACAGTTACAACCAACCTGCCTTCCATTGGGGACTTGTATACTGCACAAGGTAAAAAGACGGCTGTGAAAATAATGTTTTTAAACTGTTTAAATCCTACCCTCAAAATGACCACTGCACACCAAAACAACTAGACACAAGGACATTTTTTTCCCCAAACGCCATCACTCTGCTAAACAAATACAACACTGTCCAACTATTTACAAAGTCTGTGCTACTATTACTATTAATTTTCTCATCACTCCTTATCACCCATCCCCTCCCATTTGTGACTGTATGACTGTAACTTTGCCTCTTGTATCCTTACAATTTATTTGTTTGATTTGATTTGATTGCTTATTGTACCCTATGACTCTTAAGTGTTGTACCTTATGATTCTTGACTCTTGATGAATGTATCTTTTCTTTTATGTACACTGAGAGTATTTGCACCTTGTGTGTCCAATCACACTTGGCCAATAAAAGAATTCTATCCTATTCCTATTATATTCTATATACCTCAAGAAGAACAGTGCCAGGACATTAAGGGCAAGTTTTCCATAAAGCAAAATCTCACAGAATCAAGAAACCAGATCCACCCCCACCCCCAAATTCCTGCTCTCCCGCACCTTGCTTCATCACAAAATTCTTTTCTTGTCAATGGTTTCCCAGCTGGGAATCGAACCAGGAAATTCCTTCCAACAATCCAATGGAGAGCCCAGAGAAAATTGGCCAAGGGAAAACCACCCATGCGGTCATTCTTTATTTATTTCAATATTAATTGAATTCAGTATTTGAATTCACAAAATGTTTGACTTTTCCAAATCCAGAATTCAAAAAGTTATTCCTTTTGCATGATCATGGAAGTGATCCCTGTGGACATGGTCACTGAAGTTTCTCTGTGCTTCATAATGGGGTTGATGTTTGCCATTATCTGTAGGGATTATTTCTTTTCTAGCATTCCTTTCATTTATCTTATTTTGAAGCCTAAGAAAGCAAAGCTTTCCACCTAAGAGGTAAAAGGTACCAGTGACCCTGGTTAAGATAATTGATACCAAACTTGAAAAGCACAGATTGACTCAGTGCAGCTTTCCTCAGCATTTTCTAGACTAGAGGGACAGATGTCAGGGCTGTATAGAACTCCAAATTCAATGTTGGGGGGGGAGGAATAAATTGGACTGTGTGAGCGCTTGTACTTTGCATCTGTTGGCAATTCATATTTTCCTCAATGTTGTGAAAATGATCACCCATTCAGATTAGAAACCAAAGCATTTGAAAATAAAATGTGCTTACAGGGAGATAGGATGGAACTGGAATTTGGAAATAGATTGTGCAGACAGAGGGAGAGAGGGTCCCACGGGCAACACTTCTACATTTATAAATTATACATTTATCAAATATATTTGAAACAGAAAGATAACAGAACAAATACAATTACACTGCAATCTTTCTTCTGGAATAGATTAATGAGCCATTAAATTGACTCCCCTATTAAATTGCACACTTGTAATATCTTTCCTGATATTGACATGTACAATAAACAATGTTGTTTATGTTGTAGTCTCCTTTACATCATTCAGTTTCTCCAGCCTAGAAAGACAAT